CAATAGCAATTTATTACATGAAAAAAAAGTCGTGGGAAGGAAATGACGAATCTGACTAATCTGGTTAGTCTTTCGCTTGAAAAAACCGCTCTACATCGTATTTTATATCTCATGGAATGATTCATCTTGTCAAAAGACATAATTCGAAGTTATATCTACATGGAATGAGTAACAATTATCTTGGATGCCTTTGTATGATAATCGACATAGGGAGCAGAGTTCAGTCCCACTGTATTTTATTTTGGGAGAACATACAATTGAACATTTGACTGACCCATCCTTTTGATATCATTGTTCCAGGATCCCAAGTGGGAAAATACACGTCCATCTCTATCAGTGACTGTGAGGATAGTGATAGCGAGTGTATACTCACCAAAGGAACGAATGTCACCATTAAAATTACCTTCAACACTGGTGAAAAATTAAGGAATAAACAATAATTCGTAATAACCATATAAATCCAGAAGATTCTGCTCAATTTAACAGCGAACACAATTTTTTTATTCCACCATCTCGTGGATTTGGTAGATTAAAAAATTGTTTTCGATTAAATGAGGAAATTCAAATGCACAATTATGGTTTACATGTTAAAATAAGTAAACATTGAGGTCGGGTTGTTACCAATTAGGAAATGAGGCCAATCACAATGTTACAGATGAGCCTGTCAATGTTGTTAAAGCAGTTGTCCATGGAATTTTAACTGGTGTGCCTATACCATTTCCCATTGCTCAACCGAATGCTTGCAATAATCCAGAGACTGGGATAACGTGTCCTTTGAAAAAAGGTGGACCATTCACCTATACAAAAACCTTCCCTATTTTATCTCAATATCCGAAGGTAATTTAAAATCACATTTTCAAATGATTAACTTCTCAATATTCTAATAAAATATATTTTTTATTGCAAGGTCAAGGTGGAGGTAAAATGGGAGTTGCAAAATGAAAAGAACCAGGACATCGTTTGCATTATGATTCCTGCAAGGATCGAGTAAAAAAAAATTGGATGAATTGAGTGATTCACCAATTGATCGACAGGAATTGATTGAATGTACTCCATTTATTTTGTATTCATTTGTAATAATCAGGGCAAAGAGTAAATAGAATTCCGAAGTGAAATTTGAAAATACTCCCATCACTTTATTTTTTGAACTTACTTAAAACTATTAATTAACAAACGCTAGTAGAAAAAAAACATTAATCTAATGTTCGTTTAATCGTACGTTATAGTTATCACTCTTAATGCACGAATTTCCTACTATATAATTTATTAATCTTTAGATTATTTGAACAACACTGTGGCAATTAGTCATCTGAAAAATCCCGCGGAAATACACGTGTAATTACGAGTAATGAGTATTCTTCAACAATCAGTGGATTAATTAATTAAATCAAATGCTCATCAATTAAAATTTAAAATTTGAGCAACAGAGACAGAAATCGTAATATTGGGGAGACGAAAAAACGAACAGCTCATGTTCAACGGAAATTTAGAAATTTCATTCAATTTCATGTCCGTCAAATATTTCCTCACCTCGGGAATACTAATGTTTTGTATGGAATTGGTAAAGCGTGTGAATCAGCAGTAAAGAACACCTTGAAATTGTATTCCAAGCTATTTACCAGAAACATCTTGGAACAAAATCATTCTAATATTCTCAAAAAATGAAAAGACATCATGACTTACTAGAATCATTTTATCACTTCGCTATGAATTTTTTCCGAAATTCAATTAAAATCAGAATCTCTGTATTATCGCTCATGACAAACGATTTATGCGAGTCTTTTGGTAACTTTAGTAGTCTCCACTTCATCATCAACTGTCCATGGCCTCTGGCTTATCGTCGAGTCGTTCTGCGTCCATTTGGTGAATCGATCGTTTTATGCATTGCCTCGTGGTACTTTGATCATGATTAGCTGTTCTCTGGGCTTGATAAATCGGCTCGTATTCCCTCAACTGAGCCATAAAGCCCTCGTTTGGATTTATGCAGAATCGTCGTTGTTGCACTAGTGCGTAGGCACGTCTGTTTGTTTTTGGTATAATTATTTTATCAATCAGATATTGCAAGAGCTACGTAATTTTCAAATCCATCACTCACGTGTGGGAGAGACCATACATCTGCATCACGTATGCAAGCACCAAAGCTGCTGACCTAGAAATTCCAGCGTTGCCATGAACCAGTACATGCCCCTGAGAGCTCAATCCTTCATCTATGAATGATTTGACCGTGGGAAAATGCTGGATTATGTTTTCTGTCGCCACGTCCGCAATATTCAGTACTAGGTACCTGATTCATAGAAAAAATATCTTAGAAAGTTGTATCACATCTGAATTCAATCCAAAGAGAAATCCGATAATTACTTGAATTTGTCAGGGAAATTTGGCTTAATGAAATTCGCCTCGATGTCTTGTCTGACACATACAATGTGAGTGATTCCTAATTCCTGTAATTCCGGGAGCTTTGAACGACTTGCTGCGCTGTAGGGACCGAGGTAGAGTCCAGGGATTACCTCCTATCAAAATAATGTCATTTCTTTTTAATGCCCTTCATTTTTTCGCACGATGTCATTTATTTATTCATCTCTCAGTAATAAATTATTAATGACCTGCATACTCCGTCTCATTGTATAGCTCCACTCCTTGGGAGAGGCCAAGGACGAGATCCTAGGATATTCCTCAGACGAATCATGGTTAGGCTTTCCCTAAACATAATATATTAAAAATCCACGCAGGGAAATTTTTCGTCGTGATAAAAACAATAACAGACGATTTATCGCGATAACCTCGAATCGTGCCGTTGACTCGCGAACATGAAGTAATTATTTATCGAAAGGGAGGTACTCACGGTTTCCTGGTGTGTCCGGTTAGTATCAAGCATCATCATTAATTTTAACGTTGAAATGATCCCGATGATCTCGTCGAAAAAACAAACGCCTGTTGTTGATTCTCATCAATCAAATTTTCAACCGAAGGTTTTTCAAGGATGGGATTGATTTGGTGAAATTGTGAGATACTCTGAAATGGAGAAAAGATGATTCGATGATTGTTGTGTTGAGAGACTGATCGATGGCGATTAATTATTCTTTGTAAATATTAAGGCCCGGTTGGATGGATTTTTTTTTGCGAGGGGTGATTTCACGCCGTCCCACTTTGTGGTAGAAAAAGAAAGCTCAGTTCTTCAGTTATTCATGTCGGTAACTTCATTTTTTATTTCACTGTGATTGCAGAGATCATAAAAAAAATATGTAAAATGCGGAGGAAAATGAGGAATGATTATTCGAAGGGTAGTATTTGCTTTTTGAAGACATATTCATAAATAATATATAAAATCATTCGTGATAGCATGTTTATTCATTTTGTGTCATTGATGTATATACATGTAGGTATTTGACATTAACGACGTATTAATGCCGATAGAATCCAGCGGTTCTCATAAATTCTTACCACTGGCTTTCAGGTTGGTTTGTCGACTGGTTTTAGTCCTTCAAAGTTGTTTTTTATAGGCAAATTATAAAAGTAAAATGATGACTGATTCCAAAAGGATGATTTATTGTGACTTTTAGCAGGAACAACTGCTGTGCCTTAATTTCTAATCTGCTTCATCACATCGTTAATTCCTGAAACATAGGAAAATCGAAAAATTAGCTCGGATATTTGAAGCCATATAGGAGTGCAAATTTAATGATGGAGATTCTCAGTCTGCCAAGAATTTCACCACGTCTATACTCTGACTGTGAAATATAAGCGAAACCTTCACGTGTTTCATCATTAAATCCTCGTTAGTATTATAATCAAAATTCCGTAGCGGAGAGTAAGTTCTTACCATAATAGCATTAACGATATCGTTCTGATTATTTTTGAGGGCCTTTATGGCTTTCCCTCGTGAGACGTTGGCCTGTGTCATCACGAGGTCAACATCCTTTTCTTCCACACCGGTCTCGTCTACTTCTTCCTCTGATTCCTCTTGAATTGGTGCAACAACCTGTGGCAAAAAGAGAAAAATCATTGAAACGATCTATCAAGACATTCGGATAATGAATTTTTGTGGAGGAATTATGATTACCGTTGTGCTACCACCAGCTTCAGCTGTTGACATGATTGGTGGTTCTTTGAATTTTTCAGCAGCTGCCACTTGGGCTTGCTGACTGAGGTCTTCGATCTTAGCCTCTCCGAAGATAATATAAGTATCAGACGCTGGGTTCTTCAAGACATCTGGCTTGTTGATAACAAAGAGGATGTTCTTGGATTTTCGAATAGTCACCCTGTTGACACCCTGGACCAACTTGAGTCCAAGTTTGCTCATAAGCTTTCTGGCTTTCTTCTCACTTCGACTTTGTTTTGCTTTGGAGATGACGTCAATTGGTAGTCCACTGGCATTACTCCCAGAGAAACCAACTCCACCAGCTGCTGTTGGATCCTCGAGCTCGGGAATTGAGTCATCGGAGTCTGAGTCTGTGCCCGATCCTGCTGCCTCAACCTCCACTTTTGATGGCTCGGAACTCGCTGCTTTGTCTAGTTCGGTTAATTCTGGCATTTTCTCGCTGAAAAATCGTTATCAATTGGGAATTAATACCTTGCAAAAATTGCAAACATTAATTCGAGATTTTTCCCATCAGTTCTGTGTGAAGAAGAGGTTTGGAAATTATCGCGCCATGTCGTTTGTCGGAAATAACCCGAATAGTTGCAAATAATCCTCAACAAAACAAAATCGTATAAAAACAGTCGGAAACAGATAATTGGTGAGAATGTATTTTCCTAATATGGTTAAGCGTGATTAGCCGGGTGGGCCATTTTTGGATCATAGTCGCCTGGAACGAATGGCGCCGAAAGACCGTACCGAACCTCCCCTTGAGCACAATCAAACTATTGATAACGTAATCTCACCAATGAAACGTAAATAAACATTTTTTTAGCACTGGAAAATTCTTAAGGTTTTATTCAGGGTGCAATTGAAGTTGGAATGAGGAGAATTGGAATTTTGTGTAATGCACAGCCTAGGACGATATGATCGACGGTTTTCGCTGGTAGATAGTGACAATAGATACAGTTGCGAATGGATATTTTTATTAAACCGTCGGATAATTATTGGGGACGAGTATTTGGGGGTTTTTTTTCGGTAATTATGTGTGATGTTGGCGATATATTTGGATTTACCTTGGGTGTTAAACTCGGTTGGTCGTAGGTACCTTTTTCAGAGATGTAAACTGAGGCCAGTTCACATGAGTGGAAGAACATGTTGAATATGGAGCTTTAGGCCCGATTTTTATGAGTTTACGGACACATTAGAGCGTTTTATAACGCAGGCAACACTGGCGGCAAAATCAAATTGTGTTTTTTTTCTTATCATGAATTCACCTGGAATCGGTTTTCCGCGATATCGAATTTTTTATAGCAAATTTGAAAAAAAATGTCTCCATTATAATGAATGGATATAATTTGCTGATAAACGGGTATTCAATATTGTTTTCAATTTTTACTAAAAACTATATTTTATCATATTTCTGAATCACTCTTTATGGATACAAATAGAAAAAAGAAAGATGACAATTATGACAAATATAAATTATGACTAATTCTAATTGATTAATGAAACGTAGCAAAAACCGATGATAACACAGGGACTCACATATAACCAATGATTCATCAAAGAAAAATCAAAGAATTGAGAATTAAATCGTGAAAATAGTACGAATGAGTGACTACCATATGACTCCATAATTCACAAGTTACTGATTAACGCTTTGTACATGAAATTCATTCATTTCGACATTCCTCATGTGTTTTTAAATATTCCAATGTTAACAGTTTTATATTATAAATAATTCATTAACTCGAGCATTTGGAAAACTGCAAAATCGAGGTTCAATAATTTATGTACAGTGGAGATGATTGTAACGACTATTATCGTTTTAATTGAGTGGGGTGAATTAGCAGGAGAGGTCATTAATCGCGAAACTGTTATGAGCGCACCGTTATTGACAAGATGGACACAGTCTCAATAGTCATTTTGCTATCAAGCCAAACGAGAAGATTAAGTATGTGATTTTGATTTTATCACCTTATCGTTTCGTTTGGTAACAGAACTAGGGTTTACGAATTTGATCACAGCTCATAGAATTTAAAAAAACCCTCAAAACAATCCAAGAAAATATTCAACAGTAACTTTAAGTCTAGATGATTAACATTTGTGTGGTACTCTGCGATGAGCGTGTGATTATTACGATGACGAATCATCTGACCCAGTGCCACTTATTTATTTTTTCTCATTGATGTAGCACTAGGAGATTGAACACGAAGTGGAATGGATTATTTCGTGATTTCGAATTCTTCCGTGAATAATTAAATGAGATATTAAATTTCTCTGATGAAAGTGACATGAGTTGACTTAATATTTACGCAAAGCCACTTGTGGTAATGTTTCTAATTGCTTCTCATTTTGGGGCTTTTTCATTTCCAGTCGATGTGAATTATTCTCGTGTGGAGTCATCCACTTCCATCTGCTCACTCTGCCCTTCATCAATCCTTTTTTCTTCCTTGCTCTCCTCCTCTGCATTAGGAGTGTCTTCCTCGGTTGTCGGTTTATCATTTTCATGAGATACTTTCTCCTCCATTTTTTCCACTTTTTCCTCGGTAATGTCAGGAGTTTCAGGCTTCTCTACTACCTCGATATCGGAATCCGTGCCTGATGAGCTGGACACCTCGACATCGTTCTGTCTGTTGGCATTAAGTCCAGCTGATAATGGTGATATAACGTCAATCTCCAATTTTGGAGCTGATGGCTTTTGTTTGCGAGCTGGATTCCAATAATTACAGTAGCAGCATCTGAACCCTGGGGAAAATTCGTTAGAGATTGTTCTCACAAGAATTTTTTGCCTATAATATGATATATACCAAAGTACTCGAATTCCTCTTTGAGCGCCATGCCATTGTGGGAGTCACACTGATGGCAGATGAGTGCATAACGATTTGAGGGGCCGTCACCGACTAGATATTCCACCAGACGATCCAAGTAACTTCTCTGTTGAGGGAGAATGGGACGTGGCAATGGAGAGCCTACATAAGTTCAAATTGCATCAGTAAATTCACCATGAACCCCACAAATATTGAGCAAAATAATTATTCACACAGTGATTAGTAAAATAATAATAGAAGCAACTATGTTACTGACGAGGGCCCATTATCGCCGAGTTGTGTGGTCTACTCGGTAGAGAGGAGACAGGCGGGGTACCAACAGGCGCCACTCCAATTGGAATAGAACCAGAAAAGCTCCTACCTACTGAGGAATTTTCTTGAGGACTTGATAACGTTAGGGCACGTCTTCTGAGCTCACCACCACCTGGCAGGGGTTGAACTACTGCCTGAGGGGTGCTAGGACGTCTCGGTGTCGACGCGGGACTCACAATTACCTTTGAAGCCGGCTAAAATAGTTTTTTTTTCGTTTATTTTCCCCATTTCTGGCCAAGATAAATAAAAAATTCCGGCAGACTATTTCTAATTTAATTGAGCAAACTATGGAGGACAAGGAGAAATTTTGATTTTACGTTCTCCAACACATCATGAGTTGATTTTTTTAGGTTCAGCTAGTATTGGTGTTAATGGAAAGAAACGAACCTGAGGTGTGAGCTGTAAAAAAGAGAATTTCGTCATTAGGCTTCTTACGTCTGTGAATTGAAGGGAAATTAAATATTTGAAGAGAGATAATATTACTGGTGTCATTCTCAGCTGATCTGGAGCGAATTTCAATAGAATCTCCTTCGCTTTCTTGTAGGTCTCTGTCTCTGTCACATCCTCCAGAATTTTCTTCTTCTGCTCCTGCATTGTCGAGAGCTTCTCTTGATTTCTTGATATCTTTCGTTTGTAGTACCATGTCACCAGTTTTTTGGTGAAGACGATGCTAAGACAAACCAAAAAACCATTGAGGTGACAGTCTGCATTGTGAATTTTATTTTCAACTTACAGCAGCGGAAAAATCAGGAGTGGAATGATGTAGAACAGCTGGTCGTATAAGGCTGCAGGGAAAAAGTAGAAGTAAAAGAGAATAGCTGTCACCACGTAGAGTATAACACTGTAAATTATCAGAGTCCCCACGATTTTCTTGTGTCTCTGCTCTGTCGTCTGTCCATATTGTTGAATTTCCTTGATTTTCTAGATTTGAAAAATCCCATGAGATAGTGAACATTTGTTTATTATTACTCAATTAATCCGAAATCGAAGAAAATTACCGAGTCTAGATCCTCCAGAACCTCGATCGTCGTTTTCTTTTTCTAAAAGATAAAATCGTCGTCAATCAACATCGTACCATATGGAACTCAAATTTGCAAATACTCTAGATTGAAACAATGTGAAGATCCCCGAAATTCTCTAATTTAACCTTTGACCGTAGCAAGAATTTTCATTTCAACGACAAATTTAAATGACCAGGGATTAGTTTGCTGTGTCATTGGATGATAATTTTGGATTCAAACTACAATAATGTCATCGAATATATTAACACGATGACTCAACCACCAATCATCGTCGGTTTTGAAGAATCATTTCATTGAGAATTCATCGATTATTCGTGCACCTCAAAAAAAACCTGAACAACTCACATAAAGCTCTAAAAATCTATTAACAAAGCAAAAAACGGGAAAATTATTTCGAAAAAATCCCGGCTAACCCTGAATCCCGCCTAAAAACTAAAAACCATTCAACTCAGAAAATTCGGAGAAAATTCCTGATTTTCTTGCCACGTCGATGAGAACCAACGTAAAATAAAATTACCCAAAAAATTACTGAGTTCTGCCTTCTGAAAATAGCGAAATGACTTTGGGGCACGAAAAAGTCTAGAGACTAACCTAAAAAATCTGCGATAACCGGATGAATTTCCGGACTACTCATCATCAACCACTGAAAATATATTTATCGAAAAACTATGTACTCACCCGAAATCTGGAGATCAAGATGCCCATGTCGAGGCTGTGATTGAGTCACTGAATTAAAAGAAATAACTTAATCCCCCGAATTGTTTTTCCCAATGTCAGGGTAGATGTAGGAGAGACGTTACCCAGAATATGAAAATAGCCCACAGAGCTGTTGAACGTCAAGTGCGCCTGCACCACAACCAAAGTGAAACCTTTTTTTACAATAGGTATGTGCTTGTGATCGAAAGCACACGTCTGCTTCCAAATTTAAATTTACAACGCTGCGAATTCCCTCTCTCCTCTCATTACGGTATATCAAGAATATATATGAATACTTGTCTCATTTTGTATAGACCGTCGCGTTTCTATTTTTTCTATTATTTACGAGTCACTGACTGGATGATGGGATGAAGTTTATTTATTTTTTATCGATGAATTCGCTGACATTTTAAAAGAAATGTCAAATTACAGAAGGATGAAAATAGGAATCGATGAGGCAAATTTGTTTTTGTAGACTTTAGTGTTGATTCGGTGTTTTTCGAGAGTCGTCGTTTATTTTCATTCAATTCACACATTCAATACACCTGAGGGAACGAGGGGGTTTTCAAATAAAAACGGTTGTTCCTCATTAGCTACCGGTGCGCCGAATGAGATATCGCATTTTATGGAATACGAGCATTAGATAATAGGCACATTAGGTTCGCTTTGAATGAGGACAAATGAATAGAAAATTGATGTTTTTTTAATTCATGACATTCACATTGACTTTACAATTTTACATTTTAGTACAAATTGATAAATCTTCTTGATCTACAATTGGTTGACAAGCCATATCAGATAACTCAGTAATAATAGGAATAGCTCGTTGAATGAGATTTACAGACATCGGGGATACCTTTGGCAAGCCGTAATTATTCTTGATGCCAGTGGTCCCCAATTCAATTTCATTGGCGAAAAATCGACAGAAGGGTATGATGTTGGATCGTACGTAAGCACTGCATTTGACGTTTGTCTCTCCAGCGAGAGCACGTCCGATAGTTGAGATGAATCTGGCAGCAGCTGCACCCGAAGACATAGCTGGACCATTAAAATTTTCAGCGCACTCTTCCAACTCTCTGTCACAGGATCTCAACTGGTTCATCAACAATTTTTCGTGCTCCTGAAATCGACGTGATGTCATTTAGTTTTTAGCCAGAGAATTAATTGTAAACTCACTCTACTGATGTGATTGAGGGGCTTGGCTATTGTCAACAGTGGAACAGAGGTTGTGGAATCAGCACCACCTGTCATTGGAACCGATAAAAATGAAGGATTTAAATGGAAAAGATTTGCAGCCATTGACTCAATTCTCATGACATCCAAAGCCACTGATCCCAGGATCTTATTCGGGTCCCAGCAGTTTCTTCTGTTAAAAATTTCGGATACGAGAGGTAGAGTGGCAGTTACCGGACGTGCAAAAACAGCGACGAGGGCACAGGGATTTATATTCGATATTTCATTCGCCATTTCTTTGACGTAATTCGAGGACATCATCAACTGAATCTTCGGTTCTGTGCTGAGGATCTTACCCTCGGCGTTATCCATCAGGGCTATTATGTCCACCTGAATTTAATCAGTTCATTTTATCAGAACCTTGTGCATTGGACTTCTACTAAATCGGACAGATATATTTATTTCTCACGTTGGAAAGCCCTTCCTTTAACGAAGACTTGCGATAATACTTGATCTTGGCCTTTGTGTCAATATGACCGGCATCAAAAACCGCTCCAGCCAGCGAATTTGTTACATCCACGATATTTATTGATCTGAAAAGCTTCGACTGCTTAAGCAGAACAGCTGTGAATATCGGAGTCATTCCACCACCTAGAATTCCAACTGACAGTTCCTTTTCACCTTCCTCGGGACATCTTTCCCAAGTTCCTGGTGAAACTGGATTTTTATCAGTGTGATCACCTTCCACTTGTTTGGATGAAAACTTTTGGCTACTCAAAAAACGATAGATTTTATGATTTTTTATTTTATAAACACAAATTTTCCGAAGACCATTCATTTTGATTAAAAATTTTCACTAAAAAAGAAAATGCGAATTGTTTGAGTTGTCGATTTCTCCGTTCAATCTAAAATTCACTCAGTAGATGATGGAGATATCCTAGTTACCATCCAACAAACATATGCTGTAATCATCTGGCTCCGGTTATTGCCAAGTAACCACTGTCATATAATAATTTATCAATTTAACAATATTCACTTCTCAATCTCACAATGTTCATTTCGTTACGTTCAATCATCATCGATAAATCGTAATCACCCCCTCGAATTGTTTTATTTCATAAAGCAATTACTTTTGGAGTTTATTTTGGAGTGAGGTTACGCAGTGCTCGTGTTGAATTGACAGCCTCAAAAAATATGAAAATATGTGCTTAACGAATATTGCGGTAATATGGAGAATAAAAATAACAAGGAGACGATAAATCTCCTGGATTTGCTGTCAGAAAGTGAGAGTGATCTATCAGATTTGGTATTGACAACGCCAAAGAAACGAAGGATCAAGAGGTACGTTAGCCATTATCTTCTTCTTTGAAATGTCTTATCTTCAATTTCAGGGAACCGTTCAGTAATATTCCCGCAAATTCTTACACTCCACGACTATTTATTGCCCATTTGTAGAAGACAAAGGCCAGGAGTGAGAGGAAAAAGTAAAAATTCCTGCACTTGTAATACGGCTAGAACGAGAATAATAACATTATGGATTGCTGCTGTTTTAATCACCTTTTGGCTGATTACGTTATCATGGCTGGCTGCGGTTCTCTATCGAGAAATTGGAAGAATGCATGTATCAATAAAATCCGGTAAGTTATATTTCCCTACGTTTTTATACCTGTAATTTATATTTGTATTCCTAAATTCAAATGAAAAAATATAAATAAATTATTAATCGTCACATAATTCATAAAATAAATCCATTCATCCAATTCAAAGCATTCCCGCCATTTAGATCAATGTCAAGGGTGGCGCGCGACTTTCCACCCCTATTCCCACTCCATCCTTTAATCCCTGTCCCTGTCCTACATTTCAACCTCAATAACACTACTGAATCTTTAATTCATCGATTGAATATTCAACAATCCTGGCTCTCCTCTTCATTTACCACAATTCTCTGTTACTGTGGATAATTAATTTTAATGTGATGCATTCCTTTACAACTGCACAGGGCGAAAATTTTTGAAAAAATCATGGGACGTGTTGATCGTGAAGAATCTTTATGGTACTGACAATTCGTGGGTTCGGGGGAAATATTGATAAGGTTGATGGAGGAGGAGGGATACTTTTTGGTCGATATGAGGCAGTTGGGTCTAATAGAAGACTCGGTGCGCCATTCATTTGCGTTGCTCAACGTTTGAGAGTCGCGTGGCTGTGACAGTGTGAAGTTGATAGGAAGATATCCCGAAACAATCCCTCGTGATTCCAATGCCAATCTCTTCCTCGATTCCACTATTGTCCTTAACAATTCGGTTGTGGAAAATCGATTGAAATTCCGTTTGTGTAACACGGAGAATTGTCAAGTAGCAATAGAGGAGAGTCGACGGATCGATATGACATGTAATGGGACATAAAAACTGACATTTGTGTTACAAAAACCGGTGTATCTGTGTGATACTTGTATTATTGGATATTGAATGAATACGCTACAGCTGTGGCCTTGATAAATTATCCTTCGGGTGTAATACGTCGTAATAAAACGTGTGAACTCTATCAGTCAACAGAAATTTGTTAATTAGTCGTGTCGCGATGAGATGAGTCAATTTATCCTCGGACTTTAGGCTTTTTCGAGATAGAGAACTCTTTACAGTCTTTTATTTACTTTAGTCTTAAATTTATTGGCCGATAATGAGCAATGTTTATTATGCTAGTGTTTGCTTTTCACTAATTCGCTTTATCAGGTGATTCTGTCTCATAGTGATATTATCGCGGTGATATCTTATCGAAAAGCCCAGGGTCGTTTGAATTTACCCTGGCTACCGTCCGCGACGCTGATTGTCAGTTGTGAGATTACGAAACGAGTCGAAAATAATAGCAAAAATTGAAGGGACGATTGAGAGATAATTGACGAGAATCACGAGAGGTTTTTCCCATTCATTCATCTATTTATCGTTGATTCTCAACAGAAGTGAAACACTATGTTGGATGAGTTTATAAATCACGAGGAGATATACAGAAGATACTGAAGACATAAAATGTGAACTGGAGTATATGAATTGAGATTAGAGATTGAGAAGAGAATTGTTTGAGTGCAGCATGTGGAAAAAGGTGAGGTGACGCGCGCGCAACCTTCTAGAGTATTAGGACCTTCAAGAGTTAATGTGTCTCGGGAAGGGGGTGCTCTGGATTAATAAAGGTCTGGAGGTTGTGGATATAGGTATCTCGACAATCGAAGCGTTTTTATTCGCTGGTTGACCTTCTGGAGATGGACTCGGTGGCAGTAACAGTGCCACTTCGTCCACCGACGAAAAAGATGAAGAAGCGTAAAGAGTTGGATGCACTTGCACCGTCCCACGTTGTCTCGAGGAGAACATCGGGCAAGAGAAGTTCACAGGTAATTTTGCCATGAATGTTCAGTGACTTGTAAAAGGATTATCACGTCAGATTAGCCTCATCGGCGAGAATTTAATAATGATTTGTCATTGTTTTATTGCCAGGAACTACTGTCGGACAGTAGTGACGAGCGTTCTGAATACTGGAATGTCTCGATGCGAGGCAATCGCAAAAGCAGAGCCCGCAGGACTCGCCCCTGTCCTGGATTATTGCGTGCATGCAGTGCATTTTTCGGTTGTGCCTCTGTCCTAGCAACTGCCAGTCTCATCTGGTTGTTCATAGATGTGCGTCAACAGCTCACATCACTCAGAACTGAAGTGGACCAAGGTACATACACCATGGAAGAGGCAAATGTTACCATCCACGAGAATAGCCAACGATGAGATTGAATACCTCCTTGGGGCAATGGAAATTTTTATTTTCACATTAAAATCCACAGTTCCTGTGTTTTTTCTGTGTTGCAGCCATTGCCGGTAGCGAAGCACTCCCCGAAGCCCTCCAAAAGTGCCATTCTGCCTCCCAGAAGCTTGAGAAAAATCAGACTATTTTGTTTACACAATTGACCGATGTCAAGGGACAAATTGCCGATTTTTCGTTGCAGGTATTTTGTTGTACACTTTTATTGAGAGACTTTTGAGAGTTATGGCTATTTGAGGCGTGTTAGCTGACCTACTGAGTTTTATCAGTTGTCAGACATTCAGAAAGGACTGCGACAGGTGCGAGAACAGCTGAAAAATACACCAGAATTAACCAATATACCGGGAGAGCTTAAAGACGTTAAGAAGAGTGTCGCAACATTTGGAAGTAGCATTCGAGATTTAGGAGCTACTGTTAATGCCCTCAAGGGAACAGATACCAAAATGCAAGAGATACAAACTAGTCTTTTGAAAAATATTACAGATATACAGGTAGACTTTTATCATCTCTTTATTCTTCTCATTGTCATTATTTGAGTAATGACTCTTTGAGGAATGCATTTAATCTATGAATTCCACAGAGTACGTTAATCACCTTATCGAATATAACGCGGAGGCCAGAAATTTCTACAAATGAGACCAAGTTAAAGACGGAAGAGCTCAGTCAGTCGCTTGGCCAACTGAAAGCAGATTTAGTGAGCATTAATGAGATACTAACAAGAAATCTCACATGGGTCTCTAATGACCAGAAGAAGGATCATGTAAGAGTTTGTTATTCGCTTTCCGATCTCAGGAAGAATTTATTCATTATTTTGCCCAACATTTTTAGACTCTTCTGGTTTCTCTGCAAGATTCCACTCAGAATGCCCTCAGCAAAGTCCTGTCACTCCAGGGCGAATGTGCCAAAGCATCTGAGCAATCAAAAGTCATTGAATCAGTCGAGAAATTGACTAGCAGTGTAAGTTTTCATTGTACTTTTATCATCTCCGAGATATTTAAACGTTCACAAATAAAAACGATATTTTAACAGTTAGCAGAGGTTCAGGCCATCAACGCTGATCTGAGGGGCAAATTAGCTCAACTGGAGCAGGGCTACAGTCAACTTCATAATTCCACAAATGATATGTTAAATAAAATAGCAACAATCAACAGTAATAGCCCCAACAGTAACAACGAGCATTCTCAAATTAGTGGCAGCTCCACTCACGCCACCAATTCTCAATCTCCGAATTAAATTCCTCTCTTAGTTATAAATTCTCAATTATTCGAGATGGATTTCTCATCAGCTGTAACTGCAATGAGGCTTCAACGAAGAGGAATTGATGGATGAAGATGAGGATAAAGATGAAAATTCCGTTACAAAACGGATTGAATTGTTTTACGTTTGATAAAGGAACGTGCAATTGAATTTGGGTGTTTGTAAATAAATAATGCTTAATAATGTCGAAGAAAATGAGCGAAAATACTCTCAGAAAGTAATTTGGAAATCGGCAAGCAGTGGAGGGAGAAACTGACCAATAATTAATTGCTATGGAGCTGATCGTATATTGCTCTTTCTAAATTATTTTACCTCATTTTCTCAACGCATAATCGTCATCGATGCGCACCAATCCAAAAGTATTTATCATTATGTAGAACATAAAATAGTTGTTCTTTCTTTTTGTTACACAGTGGAAAAATATGGAATGAAAATTTGTATGACTGATGAAGCAATAATTAAGACAGTACTTAAATCCTTTCCAGGAAGAATAAAACAGACTTTAGATTCTCATTCATTATAGAATGGTGAATAATATTCCAGCGTGATTGCAGTATAAAATGAAGTGCACATTAATGCAGTTCAGAAATAGTGTTTATCGACACGTCAAATGTTTTTTCGATGAAAAAAGGAAAATCAAATGCAAAGAGAGAAAATAAAGTACAAAATTGGAGGAAAACAATGTCGAATTATTTCAGAGTTTATCTTTAACGAACCCCAATGAATATTGGAGAACCATTCAGTTAATCAGAAGACATTAGAATTTCCAATTGATAAATATCTCCGAAAGAAGGGAATGGGGAATTTATGAGGAATTCACTGATTCCCGTTATTTATCAATGCACAAATCTAAGTCAGAAACTTTCCTTTCTGAGTTTTAACGAGAAAAAAAAAATTCTCTAAATGTCTGCCCATTAAAGGCCACAACTACCGAAATGTGCGACGTAATTAGAAGAGGACTGATGGTGGGGGTAATGCTCAACCGAGAATACCTGAAAACCCAGTGTAAAATACAGAAGGTGGGGGTAAAAAGTGTCAGAAAGAGAAGAAAGGAGTTAAGTTGGTCGATGCAGTTGGGCAACGACATGAAGCATGAAGCAAAAAGGAATAAGTGGGGGTAAGTGAGGGGGGCTCATAGGAATGTGGGGCCTGCGTCTCTTTAACTCCAGTGTTGTGAGGCGACCAGCTGTTGCCTGACGTCACCGTGAAAACTACGAGTTGAATAACTGCGTCGAAAGTCCACTCGCCGTTCAATCAAGTCCATCAGACAAAGGAGAGCAGCAGGAGGACCTAACGTCACTCAAAAATCCCTGGGTAAAAATCGGACTCCCTCACCCGGGGAGAAAATCATTGCGAGGAGGGGTAAAAAAAAATAGGAAGCATAATAAAAATAAATATTTCAACGCGTGCGCATTTAACTCCGACATAAACATCAAGGGTCTTTCTCTCTCGTGACGAAACGGTATCTCTCCTCCGTTTGGGAAAAATCAAAACAATCAAGATGGCGGAGCAAAGTGGTGAGGCATCATCGTCGAGCAGTGTCACTGAGGCACCAGCAACTGCTCAACAATTGCATGAAGAGCTTGATAAAATAAAGGAGCTCCTTGAGCCGGAGAAGAAGAAACGAAAATTGTTGAGAGGCGATGGCAAGAGTGAGCAAAAGCTTGAACATCGGTTGGGGGGCATACTCTGCTGCGCCGTTTGTCTCGATCTTCCTAGGGCGGCGGTTTACCAGGTAAGCTATTCACACCTCTTCCTACGCACTCTTTTATTTATTTATTGCCACTCGTTTTTATCCTCTTCCCTGTTTCTCAATCGTTTAGTGTTTGGGGAAATGTTTCTTTTGTTTGGGAAATTAACGGAGTTTAACCGACTTGGTTGGGTTCATGTCGACGATATTTTCAGGCTCATTATATATTTCTTTGTTTAATGCTCCGTGTGCAGTTTAATGCGTCGTACTTTATGATTAATGAACAGTGGGAAAGTGTTTAATTATGATGAAATTGGTTAATGGAACGGAATCTGGAAAAGATAGGGGTGTTTTTTTTTTAATTTTAGAGGACATTTTTTGCAGAAATTATTTTCAACTTAGCACAAAAAATGTCCTCCGACATTTTTCGCCGGAGCCACTCGTTATTGAGATAATTCAATGGTTTTGTTCAATTCTGTTGAATTTCAGCGATCCACGTCACAAATAATCAATTACTTAATTAATCTCTAATATTATTACTGAGTGAAGAGCGATAAAACTTGATGATAACATTTATGTTTAATTGTCAACGATAATTTTTCGTGCAATACTATGAATTTCCTTTCTTTTAATCAATGTTTTGTGCAGTTGAATGCGTTGTAGTTTTAGTATTTCTTATGAGATAAAATGGTATTGATGACTTTTGTATGACCCACATAAAGTGCAGTTTAACATTACGTGTAAGTTTAAGAAAATTTATCTGTTGATTCATTAGAATTTACTGGAAGTGTGTGAACAGACTGATTTTTTTTTACACTTGAAACAACGAAATTATGGTTATCTCATGCTAAATGAAAACAAAGCGTGAGTGCGTGCGTTTAACAACACGAATCTTCAGCTGTGTATACCAAAAAGAAAAACGTTGATTTTATGTAAAAGTTTAAAAAACCAACGAGTGATGGGAATTTTTTTTTTTCAATAAATGAACTTTTGAGGTTTAAAAGAAGTGAAAGGTTTTTTTTAATCATCTTGAATTGCCCACCCATTATACATCCCATATCATAGTCCTCATGAAGAAATAAAACAAATTATTCGAATGTTAAATATTCGAGCCGATGACGTTTATTAATAGACCTCATACGATTTTGTGTTTCAGATTAATTAAAATATAATAAAACAACGAATCATGGTAAAGAGTATTACTGATAAGTTTGGTTTATTAATTGACGAATAAATTGAGAATTAATTTTTTTTCATTCTTAAGAACGACTGGTTCATTCGGGGAAGACTTGACTGACTTTATTGTAGATTAAAAATTTTTGAAATTTCTACTATATACTCATTGCTTTTTCAATTGTTCGTCTTCCCTGATTGATTGCTAATGTTGAATGAAAAATGAAAGGAGCGTGAAAATTAAGAATGGTTTTTGTCGCAATGGTGTTCACAGTGTACCAATGGACACTTGATGTGCGCTGGGTGCTTCACTCACGTACTGGCCGATGCGAGACTACGCGATGAACTGGCAACTTGTCCCAATTGTAGAATTGAGATAAGTAAGACATCAGCGTCGCGCAATTTGGCGGTGGAAAAAGCTGTATCGGAATTGCCAGCTGAGTGTCAATTTTGTGCTAAAGAATTCCCCAGGAATTCCTTGGAGAGACATGAAGAGTCTATGTGCGAAGAAAGGTATATCCATCATTTCTCAGTAAAAATAGACTAGTCTATTAAATAACGAGGATGATGGTGGTGTTTGATATTTAGAATATCAAGCTGCAAATACAGCAGAATTGGCTGTCCATGGCGTGGTCCAAATCACGAGAGCTCAGAGCACGAGACCCATTGCGTTCACCCGCATCGCACTGGTGCTGATGTCATGGAGGCATTGCGTGACATAGATGCCCGTACCCTCGAGGAACGCAGGCTCTATGACAATGTCTTTGATCTCCTCTCTTACGAGAAAATCACCTTCAATGGTATTAGCCAACTATTTCAAATCCCTTCAATTATTTAACACAACTAAATAAATCATCAAATATTTATCGTTTTATTCAGATCTGCAGATGAAACCATATCGCACTGACGAATACGTCCACAAATTGTTCTACGAGACAGCGCGTTTCACTGCATTTAATTATCAGTGGGTAGTCAAAGCGAGGATTAACAATAGCCAACGCGATCCCACTCAGAGTTCCGAGCGTGACATGACTTATCAAGTGAGTAACATTCTTTACTTGTCACGTTATTGTTACAAACATCGGAGAAATCTCATCAACTTTTATTTCATTCTCTTGCAGCTCATCTTGAAGTCAAAGACAACATACCCTCTGTCCCTTCATTACTTGATACTGAAGGGACCTTTTGGGGACATGAAAGTCAAAACACGTATTCATCGCTTTGATTTTACTGACTCTGATAATGAAAGCCCCTATTTGCCATTACCACTTCCCGACACCAATGAGTGCAACAGACTCTTGGCAGTAAAGGCTATAAATTTCCGGTGATTATTTATTTACTCTTTCAAATTTTAATACACATTTATAATTCCAGAAAAAAATACTCCCGCACATATTCATTAAAAAATATGTCTCTCATTATTACAGACTCATTATGTTTCTCGCGTCAAAGTAGTCCGCTGAATTATCACTGATGATCCTGCCGTTAGAACAAAGCGAAGAAATATATATTTATTATATATACATGACTAGATCTACTGTCTAAATTCTGGATCGAGTGAAAAGCTGGAGAATTGCGCAGAGAATGATAAAGAGAAACTTTTGGATTCAAATTTGCTGGTTAAATGTACAATAGTTCATAAACTAAAAAAAAACAAACACTAAAGAAATAAATCCCACGGAATATTGTCTCGATATTAATTTCCAAACTAGAGCTTAGAAGAGAGTAAAGTTATTTTCTTTTTTTTTTCTAATTTCGTAAGCTGAGTGCAAAGTGCTTATGCACACGTAGATAACAAACATTTGATACGATTTCGATGGTTCCCCACTTCAATATTAGTAATGCTGAATATACAATTTCCATAATTGGAAAATCATCCTCTGACCAATATTGAATTACATGAGCCACGAGAATCGTTATCATTGTTTTTAAAATGATGTTTTTTTTAAATGAAAGTACCATTTAACAATGATATTTTTTGTTTTCTCCTTGATTTTTAGTAGACTGATAGGCAAACGTGTCTTTCCTATTTTTTCAAGTTGCGTAGTTTTGAAGTTGTGACGTATTTCCATTTTTTATTCGTTTTTTTTTTCATTAAAAAATTAAAGGATATTTTATTTATGAGGCTCATCTGAGCTACTCAGAACAGATTACACTTAGCGTTTATCATAGGTAAAGCTCTATCTTCTATGATTAATGTAATTGAAATTTGAATAAAGCAAATCTCAATAAATATAAGATCTGATGGTGAATTGGTGAGAATATTTTTTCCCATCATCTATTGATCTCACAATTCTGATAAATTGATAAAGGTATTATTAGCGGTTTTGGTAATGGTACTCAAACTAGGTGGAAATATAAGGGGATTGAGGGCTATACCATTTTCCGGTGGACTCGTACTGTATTTTCGGTTTTTCGGTGATGATAATCTCGGATCAGGGGCTGAGCATCCAGTGAGCCAATAGGACGTGACAGTGCCCCTGCCGCGTAGTTCAACTTCGCCGCGTAATTCAAGCTCAAAAGTTCCGAATTTGTCGAGAATATTTTTAGTCGTTTCCGATACGTGAATGCGCAGAGCTGAAATGATACATTAAGCAATTATTTACGTTGATTATTTATCATTTCACGTGAACTGATTAAAGAATTCTCACGCAGTCCAGAAGATTCCATCCTGGATGCTGTATTGACAGTATCTCCAAAGAGACAATAATGAGGCATTTTCTGGCCCACGACTCCAGCACAAACGGGTCCACTGTGAGCTCCAATTCTTACACTGAGTTGTGTGTCCTGTTTGTGCATGATTTTGAAAGAAGCCACTGCATCGACAATGGCCAGAGCCATCAGTCCAATCTCTTTGGCGTGCTCATCTCCATTCCTCTGGGGGAGCCCTGAAACCACCATATAGGCATCCCCTATGGTCTCGACCTTGTAAACATCGTAGAACCCGATAATACGGTCAAAGGTGCTGTAGAGATCATTGAGAAAATCCACAACTTGCATTGGCGTGCTCTGGGCGCAAAGGGCAGTAAACCCTACGATATCTGAGAAATAAATAGTCACACACTCGAACTGCTCTGGCTGGACCAGTTCACCTGCCATCAGTTGTCCAGCAACTTGTCTAGGAAGTACTTGATACAGCAATTCTTCACTCCTCCGTTTTTCTAAACTCAATTGTTCAGTTTTCTCCTCCACCAGAGCCTCTAAATTATTGGCATACTGCTCCATTCGTCGAAGTAGATCATCCATGAGATTCTCGCAGTACCCCCTGAGAATAAAATCCCATCAATTGAGTGCATTAATCATCGTAAAGTTGGCTATCCAACAACTTGAGAACTAACTTCATTATTCCCCTGATTATCGCTCGAATTGTATGGAAACTCGGCCTGTCCTCTGGCCCCTCGCTCCAGCACTTTTCCATTAGTGTGAGAATATCCAAGGGGCAGTCTCGTGGTGCCACTTCAGGTCGAAAACTTGGATTTTCTCCCGATGATACTCGATTCACAATCTGATTGAACGAAGAATTCCTTTTAAAGTGCTAGCAGTGATTTACGAAGATTTAATCACCTCTTGGGAAGTCATGTAGGCCCTGGCGACTTCGTAAGGCCCCCCACGAAGAACTATCTCCTCTAGAATAATCGCAAAACTGTAGACATCGCCTTTCTGCGTTGCTGCACTTCCAGGAAGAACCGTTTGAGGCAGTAATTCAGGTGCCACCCATAGTAATTCTACATGAGAAAAAAAAATGGACTTCCATCAAGTGATTCGTCCTTATTTTCGATTTGAATTTATTTATTATTACTTGTGTAATAGTTATCGTCAATGGTCAAGTCAGCGGGCATAGTGAGTGTTTTCAAGCCGAAATCCGATATTTTAAGTACAAATCGACCATCGATGAGGCAATTGCACGATCGCAATTTACCGTGTGCAACGACTTCACTCGCGTGAAGGTAATCCATACCCTGAGGTGGGTAATGCAGCAGAGGACAGATAAGGAAGTGATATTCGGTGATTCAAAGTGAGGGAATTGTTAAAGATAATCCAGGAGAGGTCCTAATACCTTAACGATGTCATGAATGAGAGACATTCGAAAATTCCAATCGAGTTTTATGGCGTCATTCCCCAGGACGTCCTTTAGCGAGCCTTTCGGACAGTACTCGGTGAGGATGAGGACTGTGGGAGAAGGGGAGCACAGACAAGCCCCGATGAACCTGTTAATAAATATGATCAACTGTTAAATAACCATTATTTATTTATCAGTAATTTATTCAATGGAAAATTCCAATACCTGACCGTATTCTCGGAGGTAACGTCGCGCACTTGCTTTATCTCCCACAGTAATTTTTTCGTCACATCAACGACTTTCTTCTTCGTGATCTTTTTAATGGCCACACGTTCACCTTTGTATATTCCCACGGTGGTGAACACGGTGGTGGGGCCTAGAGAATCACCACTCACCTGTGATCCACGACGACGTTGCTCAAGCCCATAATTCTGAAATTTTTCAATTGGAATATCTCGAACATTGTTCCTACCATGAAAAGCGTGTGAGAACGCTTTATACTAGAGGATTAATCATCCGAGTAAATTTTTTGTTTTCGTGGCAAATGATTGGCGAATTACGGGCAAATAAAATAGGCACTGGTGTAATTACATTGGCTTCCGACATGGCCTGATGTAGATTAATCTTGGAGGAGAAAGCTTTGTTGACCTCCAGCAATAGCTCCTCGGGCCTGATCCTCCAGGACATGTTATTCAAATCGGCGGACAATCGGAGATGTCGCCAGAGGAGACAGGCAGCGGCCACTGCAGCTAACAGAAAAATCGCCAGGGAGAGACTGGCGTAGAGCACCAGGGTGTAGGCATCGGTCTTCTGCGAGCAAGTGGGATCATTCCCCAGGAATCCACACTCGGGTACATCACGGGGTGGGCCTTCTCTACCCCCTGGCCAGTGAATTTTCTTGCCAGATACCTGGCTGTATTGACGATTGGCGCCCAGGTAATGAGCCACCACTTCAAATCTACCGGTGATTGGGTCCAGGTCGAGGATACTGTAGTCAGCGTCTCGATCACCGTCCACATCTATGCGAACGTGACCTGTTATCCCCATAAAATCCCGATTCCACATGCGTCTTGTCATCGCCACTCCATCCCATATGTCACCACCGTCCGACAGGGTCTCATTCAGGGCCATTCCGAGGAGATAAACGCCATCGTAAAATGCACCGATGAAGAAATTCACCTGAGGGTTTAATATTTCAATTGAAAGGAATGTGATAATTTTCCCCTTCGTACCACTCACTTCTTCTCCATCAGAGAACGTGTAATTGTAATCGCTCTGCGCTCTGATCCTGACATCCTCAGCAAAATCCTGGAACCTAGGACTCGTCGGTTGCAATAGGGACACCCGCAGGAGCGACTCGTAAGCCTTTCTCGCACCGGAGTCATCCTCATCTCCCACTTCCCAGTCATGATCGCCCCAATATGAGCCCTGATTATTCATTCACGTTAAGTAGGTGATTATCTTCTTAAAGGATTTGGGTCTGAGTTTCGTGTTACCTGGATTATTTCAACATCTAAGAAGGTCCAATCCCCCCGAGTCATTCCCAATTCATGGGCAGCGAGCATAAACTTACGTACAAGAGTGCCGCGTACACTCAGGATTACGACTGAAGCATCCGAATTTTTAATAATAGAATATTGATGGAGTTTTTTTCTATGGGAATAAAGAGGAAGTGACAAACCTCTTGCATACATGCTGGCATCTCTCAAGTACAAATGGTGAGAGTCATCCTCGGAATTGCCGTCCAATTCACGTACGAATTTCAGCAGTCCATCCTTCCTCAATCCGTACTCGAGATTTTTACCAACAGTCAGTGAAAATAAATCCGATCTGTCGAGGATGAGAGCGACGTGAGACCACCCAAACTCCTTGAAAATACTCGCAAAAACCATTCGAAGGCGACACTGACAGTACGACATCCTCGTGAGGGTCGGGTACTTGCTCTTATCTTTGAATATTCCCTGGAATAAATTCAACCGCATAGCGAGATATTTTCGGAATACTTTTTCTCATTAGCGAAATGCAGACTCTGATTACACGTTGGAAGACAACCAGGGTGGTTAATTAACATCCAAGTGGACACGCAAGGTGAAGTAAATTAAGAAATGCGAGAGGTATACATTTACCGAACTCTCGTTTTTCCACTTGTGCAGACGTCCAAGGATCCCGGAAGTCACGGATAATTCGCCCTCTGATGGTGGCTGCAAATTGCACCATTCAATTACCATTTTTCCCGTGCTATTCGGTAGTGAGTTTTTAATTAAAAGGTGCTTTCTTTCAAACCATTATGAATTGGAATGAGTGAAACCTTTTAATTAATTTCTTTTCCTCCAAATTTACCAATAGCAGTACCATACTTTTACGGAAAAAAGAAAAATAATCAAGACGTATGGACCGAACTCATTTCATCACTTCGAATTAGTTCAATCTGTTTAAACCAATTGCTCTTACCTGATCACCCATTCCCGTGATAATAGGAGTATTCCAGTAAGCGGCGAGTCTAGCAACAGGTTCGAGGGCAAAAGCACAAGCTGGCCCGACAAATGCAATTACATTATCTCGAAAATGCATGTCAGCAGCTAATCCCGGTGCCCTAGCACCGCTACATGATGGATAGCTGTGAAAAAAAAATTCCCTCATTTCTTCCAATCCCCGACGCAGTAATTTCTCACCCAGTCATTTCATCGAATATAAAAATTTACGGAGAGAAATAAAAAAATAAGCTCCATCATCCATTTGACTGCTGCCCTTGACCCTCATTGCGCACGTAATAATTATAACATTTACTTTTTTTTTTAATCTCGTTACTGATTTCTCATCCGTTAATTCACGGGGATCAATTATCCGACTGTTATTTAGACTCCCTATGTATTCATCTGTGCACACTCGGGGGTTTCGAGAGGGATGCATTCAGATTGAAATTTCATGCCCATTCATTCTGCATCACGTATCACACTAGCTAATGTACAAGTGTCACTCGGAATTCACTCTATATCACGTATGAGAATCAGTCGTATTGTTATCATTCCCGGGAATTATCCATTGAAAGTCCAGCACTTGTAACAAAATGATCATTTTCGGTAAAACATATTGCGTTGGAAAATAAGAACGATTTTAAAAATTTATTTTTCTGAACCCAAGGCAACAATATTATTTCTCACATCTTATTTTATCATATTCCAATTCCCCTCGTGTCCTCCCCTATTCTCCATGGTACAAGATCAATTCGCGTAAGCAGTCAAGTATACACTGCCGTGTGAATATAAATCGAATAATTTGGAAAAAAGTATCGAGGGAGGGAGAGAGGTCTAAATGAATGGGATATTTTTTGAGCATTTGCTTGGACAATGGGGTGGAAGGGATGAGGATCTACCTAGCTTGAACCTTTCTCAGCTGGACGTTGTGAACGATGAGAAATTCATTGACTTCTGCTAGGGCGAGATCAACGGCTGGTCCACATCGCTCCAAGTCAAAGGGACTATCCAAATGAGATGCCATCAGCACTCCGACGTTGTACGTCTTTATTGAAGTTTCCCGCGCTAATGGATTGTGCAAAAGAGGAGTAATAAAGTTTGCTCAATGGTGTATGCAAGGTGTCCTTGAAAATTCATCGTGCATTTTCGTTATTATATTGACATTCACTACACAAGTAGTCATTCTCAAAAAAATTTCTCCTTTTTTGAATAAAATGATGATTTGAAAATTGATTTCACTATTACCTGATATTTTCCTCGGGATTGTCGCATCGATGTTGGCGAACAGCCACAGTATGAGGTAAAATGTCGGCTTCCACATTTTCACTCGCGAAAATCACGAGAAAAATTAAATATGAATTTTCAACATATCGTTTGAACGAAGCGTTGGCGTCTAGCGTTTTCCACTGAGTTTTCCCAGCTTTATACAGAGGGTGGTTTTGAACTGTGTTGTCCTATTCGTCCTGGTGAACACGCAAGCGCATCTTCCTTCCGTTAAGAAAATCAACAAGTTTGTTGGATGAAATGTACGTATAGGGGGTGTGAGTTTACTGGTGGAGGGTGGGAGTTAATTGGTGAGTTGGTTGGGGTGTGTTTTGGGAGGCGGAAAAGTTTTCGATGAGTTGGAAATCATCTCAAGTTTTGGGGGGCTTTGTGGACGAGGTGCGATTAAAAAGTTGCCGGTACTTTATTTTAATTTGTTTAAAACTCGATTGAAATTTTTCTTGGGGTTGTTAGCGGTTGCTAGTGTTGGTATGATTTTAACCGATGGTAAGGAGATATGGGGTGGAACTTCCTGTCGGTAAAAACAGTATAATAGTGGAAAGTTGGTTTTATTGATTGAATTCTGGAGTGAAGAGGTAAAGAGTGAAAAGCCGACGCGTTCCACTGATTTAGTGGTGATAGGACGTTCCGTAATCTGGAGTGGTTGAAACTGAGTCGTTCAAGGAGTACACAATGCTATCAAAAAAACAATTTATTATTCTCAATATACCGTGCAATCTTACATAAAATCATTATTACGTTTAAAGGCACACATTTTTTAATATTCTTGGGACAATGCATATCCGTTCAATTATAATTCTGTCGATTTTTTGGAGAGGCAGCGCTGTGTGCACATTCTCGAGACCTAGAAACTACATTAAAAATGAAAAAAAAAAAAATGGCATAAAACGCCGTTTGATCGAGCCTCATTATCTTTCCTTATTGAAAACAGTCTGTTTGATCAATCGTTAGAATTTTATCTATTTCTATCATTTACTTTGTTCATTTTCGCGGGTGAATAAAACAACTGACGATTGATCTGACTAAAATTAAACTTTTAATTTTACAATATTTATAATATCTATTGGCAAGCTTGGAAAACAGATTCATGAGAATTGAATATTTTCCAAATCCGAAAACCATTCCACATTTAATTTTCATCGGATTGAGAAAAATTCGATATTAACAAAAAATATATATAATTGAGGATTAAAAATCATTAAAAAATAATAACAATTTGAATTCATCTAAACATAAAACATTTAGGCGAAACAAATTGAGCGATTGTCTAGAAGATCAATTTCTCCGTTCAATTTTATTTTTCAATAAACATTTAAGTACCGAAGAGGTAATAAATGCGTATCAATAAATTTGATCCATTCATTAAGATATTAAACACGAGGAAACATTTTCTCCTAAAAAAAAAGACATTGCATAATTTTGACTTCGGCTTTAACGCACGATTTAAATAATATAATATTCTGTAACATTAAAAATACACTATTACGAATACCTAATAAGATAAAGCTGCAAATTGAATACTGTGGTGATAAAAGTTCTCATTTTGTTTTTAATAAGTTTCTTCTTTGTTGTTAAAAAAACAATCTCTTGCAGATATGTGAGCTTCTACTCTGTCTTTGATGGTTGTACTCTCGGATACAGCTGTAAAAAGAAACCAAAGGGATTTCATGAATTTCCATTAATTCACGTAATTTTATTGAGATTGATGAAAAATCTCAACTTACCCCTAACAAATTTCTCGGAACATATCCCTCTCGGTGCCCAAGCTTGCTCCACCACCACTCTCGTTCATTGTCATCTCCCTTTCTTAGAATAACGAGCTGATCCCCATTCTTCATCGACAGCTCGTCATTGTGCTGTGCATCATAATCGAACACAGCAAATACCTGACCATTGTTCATAATGCCTAACTTCTCCTGAACACCTTTAGAACAATAAAATTAAAATGAATTATACAATGAACTCGTGGAAATAATAAATGGAGGGAATGCATTAACTCACTGTACAAATACTCGGAGCAACCGTCGAATCCCTCTTCATCCTCTTCACACTTTTCCGCCGCTGTTTCGTGATCGGAGAGTGTTGTTGCGAATATGCATGCACCGTGTTCCACGAGAAATCTCACCATTGCGAGATTATTACAGCTCGCTGCACAATGCAGAGGTGTCCTGCAAAATTCACAAAAGATAAAAAAGATAAAACATTAGAGGCGCTGTACCACGAGTAAGTGAAACTCAAAATAACAGGAGACTAAATAAAGAATTCCTCACGTTCAATTCCCATCCAAAAACATTTTCTCAATAATAAATTCTTCAGCACATAGACGACACTCAAATCCCCACTCAAGCGAGTAAACAATTTTCTTGGCAAAAATTCCAACATTCCTCACTACTGTTTACCAACTTGCTGTGCATCCCAGAATAAATATTTGATCGTAAAAAGAAGATTGTTATCTTGGGATAATAATGATTTTCATAGGGATTGTATTATGTGAGGATCCTTACCATCCATCACTATCCTGTGCATTGACATCGCAGCCAAATTCGACGAGAAACTTGACGATCTCCAGGTGTCCTGCACAAATGGCGTTGTGGAGTGCAGTTATTCCCTCATCATTGGCTGAACTAGGATTGGCGACCTCCTTGGCTGTCTTCTTGACGAGCTCAAGTTCACCCTCGAGGCTTGCATCGAGCAGTAAAGCCAGTGGGTCAAAAGAGACCCTTCTCGATAAATTCGCCTTACCCGTTGTGGATTTTAAATTTCCCTTCTTTCTCCGTATCACCTCGCTCCCTTTGCTCTCGCACTCCACCTCGCAGCGCACCTCCTTCTTCAATTTGTCCTCGATATTGATGACATTCAGTGCATCAACAATATCCGAGTCCTCCAATTTTTCGTTGCAATTCGTTTCCTCTGTAGTGTTATTTATCTGCTTCAGACTAATGTGATCAGTTACATCCGGGGTATTTTGTTGATCCGTTTGCATAAGATCCGCGGGTATTTCAGTCTCTGGGAATAGAAATGCCGGGGGCATCTCAATTCTACGATTTATCGATACGTGAACGTTTGATTTGGCATATCGGAGTCGTGGCTGTTCCGAGAGGTGAGCCTTTTTTAAGGTCAATGGGCGCGCCTTTATTATCTGGTGACCACCACCCACTGGGACTTCATTAGGCGATTCTGGAGGCTCGCTCGTTGGAATCGGTGGCACTTCCTCTTCCTTCTCACTTCTGAAACATTCACAAGACAGACTATTATTTTTATTGTCTCTATTTTCTTCAATTGACTTTCAAACTCCATGGGCACCAAAACCCTTTCATGCAGTTGACTTGAATTCATTCAAAGCCTTATATTTCCAGAATATGGAAAAAACCACTCGTTTATTTAGATATGTATGCATTCCCCATTTTTTCTTTTTTTTTTTCTCTGCTTTTAATAAAAAAGCAAGGTCCGTACTCTTTTATTTACGATGAAAGCACGATGCGCCGTTTGATGTGTCTGTTTCAACAGTACCACAATCACTGACCCTACAAAACACACTGTGTTTTCTCTCTGCCACTCTAACTTTGTTCTATTTCTGGGTCTATTATTCGCCACACCAGAGATTCACCAGCCAAATCGATCGTGTACTAATTAACATTTATAATTAACCCGCTGATAGATTCACAGATCACGTACCATAAAAATAGTGAATGGATAATTGATTGAGCCTATATTTGAGTTGAATAAATTTAATGGTCTTTCTATATCGACGTGATTCCACAAGATGTAGAAAATTTCTTCTCCATTCAATTTCGTCGGTATTTTCTCTGGTTCAATGACTCAACCACGTTGAAATTTTCACTTTCAAGAGCAGTGAAAAATGAACGCTCACTTGACGGTGACAACTCAGCTAGAGTGCCAGTTTCACAAGAGAGGAAAACTAGAGACGTACGAGAAAGAAATATAATACGAAATACCATAATCATTACGTATTGGCCTTGGACGTGCCTTGAATATTCAATCCAGAGTATCAAAACTCTGTAATAGAATATCAGGACAAGGGCAAACAATCAAATACTTCCGCCACACGGCAATCCAGTAGCAGATTGTTGAGGCGTAATAGAACAAGTGGATCTCTAATCAAAAGTAAAAAGAAGTGAGAACTCACCTTGTAACAGTTGCTTTAGCATTGGTGTCTCCCACAGTCTCCCCACTGGTATCCCCCTTATCCTGGTTGTTGAGCCTCGGTGGTGGATTGGGTTTGACAGGTTTCGGTGGTAGTGCAGGCTTCATCTTGTCCTCCTTGCTCTCCCCTTTAACCGGTGGCTCTAGCTTAGCCCCATGATCATGTTTACCCTGATTGGTCTCGTATTTTTGTCCCAAACTCTCCACCTTATCTCCCTTCAACAGTGCCAAGTTTCCATCGTGCTTGAACCCTGAATGATCATGTTTACCATATTGATGTGTCCCAGCCAATCCACTGTGCTCCAACTTGTGCTGATTCGACTCCAATTTAGTAGGCACCTCAAATCTCTGATTATCATACTTCCCCTCAAGCTTGTCACCCTTCACCCTATCACCCTGACCATCCGAATTTTGTATCTGATTGTAACTCCCCGCTGCATAGCCCGAGTAATTGGTATTGATTGAATTCTGGGGCTGTGAGAAATTTGAATTTTTGTACCCCTGGTTGATCTGATTCAATTGCCCCTGATAATTGTGCCTCGGGGGATAATTGTCGTTTGTTATTGTTGTTGTCGTTGCTGTTGTTGTTGTTGTTGTTACAGACTGACTCTGGGGAGTGGAATTGTGGTGGTTGGAGCGATCGGTGTAGCCCTGGGGATGACCCCTCCCTATCAAACTCAATGTTTGGGGCATTACTGGATTTATTTTAATCGATGAGGTTTGATAAATTGGAGATTTAACTGGAAAACTCGGTGCTACGGATGAGACTGGCTTTTGGTGGGTGAGATTTCGGTGATTGTGGGTCTGAGTGATGGATTGTCGGGTATCTTGTGGGGCCTGGGTGGAGGGGATATTTGTTGTACTCTGTGGGGACTTTTGAGGGATTTGGTGGGACGGATGCCTCGTCATCTGCGGCTGGGACTCTTGGAGGAAAGTCGAGGGGGTTGAGGTGAGGATTGAATTGTTGTTGTTATTGTTGTTATTATTATTGTTGTTATTGTTGTGGTTGTTGGATGAGTTGACGAGGAAGTTGGAGGTGGGATACTGAGGACTGTTCTGTTGTGGCTGCTGTGGCTGCTGTGGAGACTGCGGCGGATGAGTTGGTCCTAGTATTTGCGATTGACCTGGTAATAGAGAATTCTGGAGTTTAGTCGTAATTTCATTGTGGTGGCAGATGGGTGATACTCTCTGAAGAAGGGATGACTATTATTTCGCAAACTACGGGGTACAGAAAACTTATGTATTCAAAATTGACATCAGATTCCATCAATCGACATTTTATTGGTTTTATTTGGTGAATTTGAAATAACAATTTGGATACTTCCGATATTAATGATAAAGTTTGTGGAAGGATATAAAGACAATTGGAGAATCGTTTGGCTAAATATGATGGGGGGGTGGTCATTGATTTTTCAGTGATGACGACAGGCGAGGTATATAAATGACTCGAGGTGATCCAGTTTTCAAGACAGTACGGATCTAGCTGGGGAGATGAGTATTCTTGTCATTCACCCAGAAAGATAATTCACTCGAAGGAGATGAATGGCTGTATACTGAGTATACTGAAAATTGACTGTTGATTCGATTCATTTGATCCGGCTATCGCAGGCGATTGAAAATTATTTCAAATGGACTATGGCTTTTGAATTATAATGAACAATTTACCTTGAATATGTGATTGAGACTGGCTGTGCGTAATTTGATGCGACAACTGCTGCAACGTCGCTCTTTGTCCAATTTGCGATGCACTCTGACTGTGCTGAATATTATTTTTATTGACATCGTCCTCGATCGGTTTTAGATTGACGGTAAATTTAGTGTTATACGGTAGTGTCTGATATTTTGGATCATTTTTGTTGAGATTGAAGTCACTGTCATTTGGTATGTGACTGTATGGCTCAATGGCAGCAACATTACCCGCGGGACGAAGTTTTGGCGGGCTCGTAAAGTCCTGTTGCTTGGTTGTCTGTTCAAATCCAGACGTATTTGTTGTTTCACACTGGCGATTGTTCAATTGCTGACTGAGTAGACGCTGATTCAGCGCTCGTTTACGCTGCAATCTACCCTGGAGTTGAGCTATCCTAGCGTCAATTGATGCCATTTCCGCTTGTCGTTGTGCCAGCACAAGCCGTTGTTGAGACACCACCTGATTCTGCTGCTCATTCATTTTATTTCGATACTGCAATGGAGGTGATAATTAACATCTGACTGAAAATAAATAATTACATGGAGGAACAGTAATTACCATGAGCTCTCTCCGCAATTTTTCAAGTTCAGCACTAGCTGCTGATGGCACTTGTCCACCAGCAGCATTGGCATTGTGTCGACCTCGCAGCTCCTCGAGCTGTCGCGTCAGCTCCTCAACCTTAGCCACTGCCAACGACAGTTCTTTCTCCTTTTCATTGAATAGAGCCCTTATGCAGTCCAGGTCTGAAGCTGAGAAAATAAAAAATAAAAATAACACGACAATGAATTAGTGCGGTGGTGCCTTCAAAAGAGAATGAGGGGAGTCAAAGTCTTAGAACAAAAGCCAAAGTTAAACAATGTAGAGGGTCTCTTGATCCCCGCACAATTTCACTCGAATTGAAGCTTCATTGGACCTTCAAATCCCCTTTGACGCCACCACGTCTATCAAGGGTTGATGTTGAGAGCAAGAGAAAAGGAGAACAAAACAACGTACAATTCTTCTGGTAGACTGATTCTTTGGGGATAGAGGTAAAACTCGAGTACATCCTATCTACGAGTATTATCGCCCTCAGAGCGCGTTCATCTTTCATACAGATAATGTAATGTGAATAATTCAGTGGAGCCCTTTTTCTTTATTTCTAACAAAACTCAACAACTTGTCGCATCAATCAAGAGTTCATCTGTAATTAAAACTCGATAGTCATGAAGTTGATGTTGTGAAATGTGGTTTTAGTGCCCCAAGTGTGCCGTATATTCTCAGTTCTCATATCCGCATGTACGTCCCACCTTTTCATTAGTTATAATGGAGAAAACAGTGAGCTAGAGAGTATTTCTTTTCTTTCACGGTAATCGCCGGTGATGAGCGGAGGCTGGGTTAACGATCTCTCATCGTTTTCCGCTTGTCCGTCTTTAATGGCTCGTAAAATCATCCAGTCAAGGTATCAGTCGGTGTATAGTATCTATTTTTTCATGTGTGACAAATTTTTTGACAAGTACTATTGCAGAGGAAAAATAATGAGGCAACGAAATGAGGAAAAATATTTAGCATTAAAAGGTAGGGATGGTATTCTCGCAGTGAACCGCCTGAGAAGTGGCGATGACGTGTTGAACTATGCGAGACTTCCTTCTGCATTTTTTTTTATTTATCATTTGAATAGAAGCTCTCAACGTACGTATGAATGTATTATCGCATTGGTGTAACACCGAGAGGAGGGGGTTGGCAACTTTTTAAACGGTGAGAATCACAAGTAAAGGCGAAAGGTGGTGGAGTAAGAGGTGCAGATGCAACACGGGATTTTCCAACGTGACCCACTTCCATGGAATAATTCATGGAAGTGGGAGGAAGAGGATGTCTACCCATTGATGCAGCGTTCGCATTTTTACTTATGAAAAAACGTACCAAGAAGATACTAGTGTTCATAACTCTTTTTGCACTTGTAAATTCCATCGATTTTTATGTGAATTTCAGATTTACTCGGTACTTATTTAAAATTCACATTTTTACGTGATATTTTGGAAAGATGAGAGGAATTCGGGTGAAAGAGACAATGGAAAATATCACATGAGTCCCGGGTTATTCCTGCTCTGGAACTAAAATTGTCTGAGAAGAGAAAAAAAAAGGAGAAAAAAACGGAGAGAGTTGTTTAAAAAGAGATTGAACCAAGTGAGGGTCGGATTGGGAATCGATAAAGAGGATTTTCCTGATCGTTGATGGTCGGTTTAGAAAACACTGCGGGGATTTCGTTTGAAAGCGGACGTGAGTACTCCGGGGGAAGTCTAAAGTGGTAGTGGAAAAAAAAAAGAACCAGGTAGAAGACAGCGGCACAGATAAAAGTGGAGGGACAAAAAACCCCGGGGATCTAGAGTGTTAACGGAAAATCCAGGTTGAGATTCGTGCGGTTGCATGCGAATACAGCAGGGCTTAAAAATAAAACATGTATTGGAATCCTGGGGCAGCTAATTATTCATGAGACGTCGGGGACATGAGACATTACGTATTTATAATAAATATTTTTAATGTGCCGTCTCTCCGCAAATGAATGTTGTCTCCCGCCTAGATTATGTTCCAGGGATGAATGCAGAGAAATAACAGGACAAACGAAAACCCCAGACCAATAGACTGAGAATATCCATAAACTATTACCGTACGGCTGTGGTCTACGTTTTCCCATCCTTTTCTATTTTTTTTATAGTGAGTAATTGCTCCTGGCATGCGAGAGATTTCGTTTTTTCGATTCAATGAATTTTGACACGTGGCGTGTAAACCGCCCACCAATTTTGTGAAACTGTAGATTTTCCAGTTGACAGTGGATATTGCATTAACTCTCATCCCGAGGTTTATGGACTGTAACAATGACAGAATTTATCCTCTCGGTATATGCCAAAATAGTTGGCAACGATCCGTGTATTTTGTCAATTCCCTCAGTCCCTCTGGAATTCAAGATTGATAAAATATCAACAATTGCTGATTTGTTGGGGCAAATATGTTGAACCGATTGAAAATGTCATATTTGCCCGGGGGTGGAATAAATTTCAACTATCGAATAAACGTCCATTGGTATTTGATACTGTTGTAGGTTGGAGTCTGATAGTAAGTTCCAAGTTCCAAGTTGGAATAGACAATGTCGAGGAGGTGGGGAGTGTAGCAATATCGAGGCAATTTCGCGTTGCTCTCGAGACTTCACTTGTACACCTTCTCCATTTTCTTCTCCACTATACTCTTACATTGCCTCATTTCTTATGAGATCCCCGAGTCTTTTTATATTACTTCCCCATGATGTTAGACGAAATATCATATCTCCTGAGATAAGTAGAATTACCATACACCAGAATTTTTCAATCCCATATATATATTTTAAAGATCGATTGCTTACACTCGATACTCCATAAAAAAATTTTTTTTCTCGAAAAAGAAAAGAAGAAAGCATTTATTGTCACAGATTTTGCGATGGGAATGAGGGCGAAATGGAGTAAAAAGAAGAAAGGGAGATAATCTCCCTTTAATCCCTGGGTTTGTCTCAGTGCTTTTTTCCAGATGGCTAATTCGAGTATCAAAAGGTCACTCGGGGTTAAATCCAAAATCCAAGGCGGATTTTTTCCTCTAGACGTTGGTTCCCATAGTCCCATCTTCATTTTTCTCTTTTAATTTCATTATTATCCTTAAACCCTTTCCGCAAGGATTGAATTGCAGCTACTTCATCCCGAACCTACAACCTCTAATCGTAGTATTTAATTGCTAAAAGTAAATGGTTTAATTGTTTCCCCCGGGAGAGTCCAAGGGTAGAGAAATTATCTGGACTACGCGATAATTATCGAGTAGAAATGATGCGAGAGGGTCGGACTTGATACGACCTTTAACTCCTGAGTGATCTGAAAGTGGAAAAAGCCCTGGCAGAGGGCGTGGAAAGACCCCATATGCTCACGCTTCATTTCGTGTCTTCCGGGATGGCTACAGGCATGAGATCCTCCAACATATATTCCTCTCGTAGATGATAATCGACTCCTTCGAGAAATAAAAATAGAAAAGTTAAAGAAAAAATGGTTCCTCATACAGCCGCGGATCCATATCTGACCGCAAAAAAAGACATTTCTCCAAAATAGAATTTTTCCAACAAACAACTGTTGATTTCGGTTATTTGCATGTTGTACATGATATTACAACCCTCAAAGGTCGTAAAAGTGAAAACGAAAAAAAAATATGTGTTCTCACCCCCATTGGTGGAGATGATCAGGGAGAAGTGTGCGGGAGATTTTTGAAAATTGAATTTTTTAAATGAATGTATATTGGATGTGACATATAGTGGCCTCGTAGAGGGTGATAAAAACCTGAGAGAGGCAGGGCGACATCCATTGGAACAAACGAGCAGATCTCACTCCCTCGTACCTCTATTTTCCACTATCCACTCATTTCGCTTGTCTCCTCTCCCTTCTACTCGTTCCCTGCAAAATCTCGTTTTCCAATTTTACTTTATTTCCTAGCGCCTCTTTTTTTTTCATCCATTTGGAAATGGAAATTTTCGGTCAATTTTTTTTCTCTCGCACGGCAAAATGAAACAAATATTTTTATCCGTGCTCTTGGTGTATGGTAATACAACGCTGCAGTAAAAAAATATAAAAATCTGGGGAACAGTTGGCATTGCCTGTGGGAATTCAACAATGATGTTGAAATTCCATATGCGGATGAGTACATATTTATAGATAGAGAGCCTAACGCTCGTTAACATCCGCAAAGACGTAAAAAATTCATTGGAAAGACATTAATTCCACGTAAAATCCACCGCTGCGAGTCGAGGGAATTTCATTTAATTTCACTTAAAAATATTCACCTCTGAGTAAAATTTCATTACTTCAGCTGTCGCTCAAGTCAACTCTTTGATCTCGCCTTTCCACAATTTTTGCTTTTTGACTTTGAGATTTTTCGGATAAAAGAGACGAGAAAACCACAGGTTTCCACCCCTTCGACTCACGGGCATTCTCGCCGATAAATGGCAAATGCCCGCGATAAAATAGCGGAATCGAGGTCGAATCATCCTAGTGTGGAATACTCCCAATGCCAGAGTTGAAAAGATGGTGGAGAGAGGGTTAAAGAGGCGATTGAGATTGCGAGTGGGGTGGTGATTCCAAGATTGCAAAGTTTGCGACTTCCGTCTGGGATAGAGAAGGCAAATAGGCCAAGTCAAACATGCTATTCCACCTTGTTGGAAGAGTAATGCATCCCCAACCAAAAAGAATAAAAAGAATCGCTCGGTTTTTTATTTATCTTTATTTCCTATTTATAAACGAGGCTGTAGTGCGCTAGAGTCGATTTATCCATTCGTATTAACCGCCCGTAGTTTTTCAGAAAAGTTTTATAGAATTTTTCGAATACAGAAATTTTCCTGAATCGGAGAGGGATGAAGTACTTATTGAGTTTGAGTTGGGGACACGGACGGATGGATTTGAGCAGTAGGTGGCATCAATTGAAAGGCAAGATCTTTCCTCGGAGGATGCAGGTTTCAAATATTCTCAAGAGCGTGTGTTTGAGATTCTGGTGGTTTTCGTAACTCCAGGGAAATGAATAATGGCCAGGGGGAAGTGAATTAGCCGAGTGAATCCGAGTGGCGGATGGAAGTCTCAATAAAGATGAAAAAAGCCGCCAGGCCGGAAGAAGAAGTGGAGGTGAATTTCGCACTCGAGATGGTGCACCCCAAGCTTTTCCCTTTTTTTATGATGGCCGTAGTGGAAAAGACTCTTGCATTCACCTTCACGCCTCACCTTACACTTTGAAGAAATCCCCCGTTGACGCCCTCCACTTTTTGCCCTCACAGCTATATCATTTTATTTCTTATAGCACTGGGGATCCTCTCTTACTCCTTTCGAAATGAAATTACAGGTACAACGGTGAAGGTACGAACAAAAAGCTTCACGATTGAAACAAAGGACAATAGATTTGCCCATGTCCTGGGTTGGTTGCTATCTCAGCAGGATTTTTCAATCCATGATCGATTTTAAAAATTGAAGCTTTACTGGATTTCAAAGATCATTTTGTACGATCTAATGTACTATAATTAGACAATTGATTATGGTGCGCACCGAGGTGAGGGTAGGACAGAGAAATAGAAATAGCAGAGAGATGAAAATGACATGGAATGGCGGGATGAAAATGCTATGCATATCCAGAGGTGGAGTGGCCCATCCCTGTCGTCTGAATTGCGCATTCCCGATGAATGCCAACATGGGGTGGCACATGGAAACCGGCTAATCCCCAGGTCCACTGTCCCTGCCACTGCCACCAGATAGCCACATGCGCCACCACCATATTCCAACCCTCCAATATCATACACTATATATACTCTATCAATGCTACGAGCAATGCTTCCACCCACATGGCGAATACATATAATATCAATGACGCACACCACAAACCATCGTTCACCGTTTTTTCACATCACTTTTTGCCTCTTTTTTTTCAACGAACGTACCACAACCATTCATTCTACTCCACTTGATCATCACTTTTTTTTCACCTCTTTATTCACTCAAGTTTTAATGACTGTGGCATGAAAATTTTCGCGCGTCCGTTTGTCAAAAAAAAGAATGGAATAATTGTCTCTGAAAAAAAAAATCAAATCCGAGCTGACCGTAAAATCACATGACTCATCTCGTTATCAAATTGAGTAATGAATCATAACTTTTATGGAGTATCTTGCGGAGAAGTAGGAAATCATTTTTCATCTGGTAAAGGTGGATTTTTCTCCTCTCTTTTTTCCATCTTCTGGGAGAAGAAAAGGCCTGTGAGTTTTTGCCATGACGTTGGAAATAAATCAAGCGGAATTTTTTTTTTCGTTGGATCAACGAGCGCGAGGAGGTCAAGAGAGTTTTCCCTTTAAGCCACGTGGATTAAGCCGGTAATTGAACGCGTACCGCAGTAGAAAACTCGTTACGAGTGGAGATGCTGATAACGCGTTTGTGGGGCTCCTCGTAAAATGCCCTCGTCCCTTTCTTTCTGGCTTTAGCTATTTTTTTATTTTCATTTTTTTATTGGAAAACATATATAGCCTGGGTCAAAAGCCGCTGGAGAGAGTGAAGCGGATTAATTTCATACATGAACCAACGAATTCCGAATGGAGTTAAAAATTAACAGTGGCATTGTTTGAGGGATTCCCTGAGCGAATAATTTCGTATTATCTCAGTGAGAACAAAAAATGTCACTTTTTTATCAACTCACTGCAGTCCCTCGGTTCTGCCACTTCTGAATGAATTATTACTCGGGCAAACAGCACTTTTCAATATGATTATCATCTCACGGGAATAGAACATCATCTCACCATGAGCATTTGTGCAAGTGGTAAATGGATTTTAATGCCCAATATTACTGACGATTGCACTGTCATTATCACCGATTTCAATCATAAACTTGCGCAAAATTGAATGGAAAGTTGCCTATGAAAGTCGCATTGTCCATTTATCAGGTTAGAATATTATAATAAAATTCCAACTAGTATTGCCTTCTGCTGTTTCTAGTTCCGGCAGAAAGTTTCTCAGTAACGCTTATGAATTTTCACATGCACCAAACCGTTAGAATCCATTGAGTGGTCAGGTGAATGCGATCCACTCAATAAAAGTGATATAGAGGAAATGAAATCCTGTATGAATACTGTCATCTCTGAAGAAAAACAATAACAAGCAGAACAAAACTTGAAATAGCTTTGAATTTGTCGAGCATGGAGTACAGACAAGGACACGTAATACAAGACGAGAAACAATAGAAAAGAGGAGATAAATAAACCAATTGTGGAATTCAGGTCAATAGAGAAAATAAATGAACGCGTAGCGAATTTAGAAGATAGGAAAGACAATAATGGTGAAATAAGTGGGTAATTGCGTGATGGCAGTCTCAGAAAAATAAAAATCACAATCCAGTGATTTTTATTTACCTCAAACTCCCCGGAACTCTCCTGAACGGATGTTCAAGGATGTTTTATATCTTTTCCCGTTTATTTCATGTTAGTTTTAATTTTTTAGTCTGATCCACGCTTTCCTAGAAATTTCCGAAAATCCATAAAAACTGAGAATATATCGGCAGTAACTCGTTAAAACGACAGATATAATAATTGAATCATGTCGCATTGTGACGAAATAACATGAGAATAATGAAAGATGGTGAGGGAATAGTCTTCCTTGTCCCCTCAGCTGGACCATGGACTAAACTCGCGTGTGCACTCGCTCGCGTGCTCATCTGGGACGTTGACTGCATGGGAATTTGCATCGTGAGCTGCACAACGTGCCTAATAAACGATTCCCTCTGTATCAGTCAGACACGATTTCCAACCCAGTTGGAATACACATAAAGCCACCACTATAACAGAGGCTGGAGGTAGAGGGGCGTCTGATCTGTCTGTAACAATCAGTCGTGGACGTTTCAACCTATCCCATTACAGGCTTTTAGATGGTACGACCTCGGGAATTCCACAGAACCTAGGGCTTGTTGTCTCTACCCTGGATTGGTTTAATGTTGTAGCAAATATTTGCTCATTCGATACAATCGGCAATAAGGCACCCACCAGTATACAGTACAATCAATACATCTATCGCCATCCAACATCATTGATTTTATTTCGGTTGGGGAAATTTTCGAGAGTGAATAGGTCAGTTTCCAATCAAATAAATGGTTACTCTTCCTGGAGAAATTGGATTTTATCACTTGGGGAAGTGAATATTTTCAACGGAGGTAGACATTTTGGAGCCATTAAATGGATTAATATTTGATATTGTGATTCCATTCCATTTTCTATTTTCAAATGGACTTACTCAATGTAGCATTGTTAGCCCGTGATTGATCAGTCTGCGATCTGAGCAATCTCAGCCTGTTGAGCTTGCTCTGCTGCTGATCAAGCCGATGACGCAGTCTGGCGAGTCTTTCCTGCTGTGCTGGTTCCTGAAAAATAATAAAAGAACAATCACTACAAACACCTCGATTGCTGTGCAAATTACCTCAACAGAATAAAAAGAGGAAGAATATAGAGTGAATATCTCCAATGGCGACTGATTTAAACGAGGTGAATGCCCTGCAAAGCCCTCGTCTGAGGAAGCCTCACACATGACGACGAGGGTTTCTGTACAATAATGCATTTTGCTATCTAATGTATACAAAAGAACTATCGAAATACGACGATATGAGCCAGGAATACTCGTGAAAATAAAATGAACACCCACAAGGTGAACACCCACCTCTACTAAACTATGATAGCCACCTCCGTGTTGCCTATTTGCGGCACCACCAGGATAAACCCGATATGAAGAGGATTTTGCGATAGGAGGCGAGAGCTCCAACATCCGAGACCGGAAAATTTGAAAGATCAATGGACAAAATAGAACTGATTGCTACTGAAACCCCTTAAAAGCACCAATGAACAGGTTAAATGGATTAAATTAATCAGTTTTGCCTATTAGGGTGCACAGGGGGCAACAAAGGAGATTAAAGGGAGTTAATCCCTTTAGACGTAATGTCATGTACCACTAGTGTTGGCTTGGCTCATTAATGGCATAATGAATCCAGTGATAATGAGTAGAGAAAACTGGTGAACGTGGTGGGGTTAGAGGAGGCATTAGGTGTGTTAATATTCCATGGGCTTGCTGGGGAAGTGCCCTCACTTATCATGAAGCTTATCACATTGAGTGTGATAAGGGTCTGCTCAAAGGTACTCATTATTCCAGGTTGCATACTTATAACTTTCTGTCGGCTGCCAATCTCAATGGAATAATCAACCATCTCAACATCATGGGATTTCATTATTCTGATTAAATATATCAGATGTATTCAAACTATTCTTTTTTTTTTTCATTTGCTATGCGACATGTCGAGGCTGATGCCCCAATTACAAAACTGGGGGAATGCATTTGCAAGAGATAACACAAGCTTAACTTGGAAATGAGATTTTAACTACCTCGTAAATTCGTGTGGATGCTAATACCCAATTCTGTAATCCCAAAATTGCTCATTAATTTTGATTTCATGGGACAATTTGGGTAAACTCGGATGAGGACTAATCGGGGCTCTCGTGCTTGGTTAAATAGTTGTCGAAATAAAATGCTCTCGTCAGAAATTGTCGAATCCATCGAATCCGTTTGTCTCAGGAGGAGCATTGTTATTGCATAGTTCATTAATTTGACAGATTGGTGTTTGTAGCTGCTATGAGATAAGAGATCACTCAATTTGGTAATGATGTTGGGCGAGGTACTCTGGGAAATTCTCTCCCAAAGAAAGTTACATCAACTATTCCAATTGTCTATCATCTTCTCACTCTGTTCCAAGATCAAAATTGCAGAATCGAGAGTCTCAAACTGAATGGCTTAACCAAGTGAAATTAACTTGGCATGAAAATGCATGCAATACACAATGAAGATAGAAGCTATGGTATGTGCAACGGAAATGCATGTGTACCTAGTAATACGGGAATGTGTAATTATTACGAGCAGGATATACGCAATAGTTTTTCAATTGTTCCTCATCGCCCACACAAATTACATAAATAATTCAAATAGTCTCGAATATTACAGCATAATTGCTCCCCTTGGTGTATAATTTTGCGGTTGGTGAATTTTCATATCGTAACAAGCCCGACATGTAACACTCAAGCAAGAGTGTTGAAAAAAAATTATTGCAACGACGAGGTGTCTATGATTCCACTTGGATAAACCATTTTCCAGACTCATACAATTGTTTAGCCAATTTGTTTGTAAATCGCCGGAGAAATTGCTCGCAAAACACATAATATACTTTCTAATCTCTTAAAAAAAAAATCCAGGTCAAAGTAAAAGTGATTTTTTTTTCCAATTATAATATACACATATAAAATATTTTTTGTAAATTGTTCATTGAACATTTTTCAAATTCATAGAATTTCAAATTTCACTTCGCAAAGTGGAATTCTAAATTATCTGAGTAATTCAGGTAAATACTGGGGGGAGTAAAAATTAATAATGAAAATATTGTTTACATACCTGGGCCCCTCGAAGCACGGCCAGCCGGGCTTCTCGTTGTTCAAGGAGACGTCTCTGCTGAGCAATCTCTCTCTGTTGCCTAGCTGCCATGCTCTCGAGTTCGCTGAGCACCAGCACGGCCCCACCCCCGCCCACCGGTAACTGAAAAACACAAATAAAAAAAAAATGATATCTATACAACTTCAAGAAAAAGCCTTTCACTCTAAATCAACCAAAACACTTAATATTCCATTGAATCCATGTTTTATTTATACCGTCTCTCCTACGTAATCCGTTGTAAAATATACGCTTTTATTATCTCATAAAATTAAACGCAACACGAGAATTAATGTATTACCCCAGTGTGAGGAGAAAAAGCCGAAGGATAAAACGAGTAAAACGAGAGTTATAGGCGCATGTACAGGACTAAATTGGTATTCGTCGAATGATCCACTCATAATGTTTCACAAGGAAATAGAGGATAACTATTACACACTACCCCATAAATGCTTGAAATCCCCGATGATGAGTCCCGTGAGTCCCCATTCATCAGTTCACCTGGCTTGTTACGATAAAAAAAAAAAGTTGAAGAAAAATGAAATAAAATGTCATGTCAGAAAAGAAATCATCCTGAGAAGAATAAAAAGTAGTAAAAAAGTTTGACAAGAGATTATGGAAAATCCAGACGTGTCTCACCCGAGACACTTTTATCCAGTATTCGTAGATGTCTGGAGATCCCCGTGGTAGTGGTGTTAGTTGGTGTAGCTTTGACGGGTATTGAATTTCTCAGTGAGGAAAGATAATTTTCGTGGCTTCTTGGCGTGCGGAATGCTACGTACTTGCCACCATCTTCTTGCTGTCGCACTAATACATGTGTAATGGAGACTGTGTAGAAGATGCCAGTGTCCAAACCACAAATGTCGACAGTGTGAAGGATATTTGGAGGTTGAGGCTTGTGTACACGAGGTGAAGTGATAGGTGGGTGGCAAAATCCGCCTGGTTATGGTACAGAAGCTCAGTGATAAACTGCCGGTTCGCCGTACCCTATCCCACATGAGATTTCCTTACCGGAGATGAGGGCCACCCGAAACATGACGAATAGCTTACTTATGTTCCTCAATCATGCTCACGTGTTATCGCTATTAAGCGATCTTCCAAATGATCAATAGCTCGAGGAGATGAAAAGCCATTGTTGATAAGCTCTGTACTTCCAGAGTAACATTTGAACTTGCGATGTCAATAATCAAAGGAACTCCATCAATCAGCTTTCCACAGCTCCAACCGATCCGATTAATGCTCGTTGAAATGAGAGAAATCGTGAAGTAATCGGATTAATCCGTTAAATAGAGGGATTTATGGGGAAAAGACAGACACATTTGAGGGAAATTGTAGAATTTCATATTGCCAACATTATAGGCACGTCATAAGGGATGATATTTCAGCTTTAAACGGCAATTGCGAGGGCTTGCTCTTGGAGGTCCAACCAATGATATATAGGATTTTCCAGAGGCGTGTAAAACCACCCCTGCCGGAGGGGCACTTTCTGCGGTGGGTAAAAGCGGATGAAAGTAACCAAATGGCAGTTTCTCTACTCGGAAAGAGCTGCACGTACACCGCCATTTCTCCGGGGGTGGTAGTACTTGATAAATTGACTGTGCGGTTTGTCGGAGGTATACCCTCCCCTTTTGTATTAACTATTTGCATAATTAATGACTATTTCAGTTGCTATTACATTTGTTCTGAGAATTTGTTGATCATTCAGGGAAGGCCTACCGAAATTGGCAGTCGATATCACGCATCATCCCTGTTGACACTTTTGACAGAAAATACTCGAGTGTTTGCGACGCGTCACAGCGTGAAAAACGAGACGTGGCAAGGGGTAACTTACGGAATTTCAAGGTCGACGGGTTTTCAATGTTAACGTCGAGTAATGTGAGAAACACTGGAAAAATATATGCGGGTAAAAATAAAATGGACGAATTATTGAATTGCTTCGTGCAATTCCGCGAGCGTTTTCATTCGTTTCTTATACTCTTCATTTTTATTTTTTAATCACGTGAAAATGACGGGCGAGCTTTTTATCGGGACCTTTGATGAAAAAAGGAGGTTAATTGCACTCTTGATTGAAATGTTTTTCATTAATTTCCTCCCCCCTCCGAGGATCATTAATTAATTACCTCGAAAATGTGGAACTATTATAATTACCTCGGAAGGTAGTTTACGAGGTGCTTTTGAAGTGTAGTTTAAAGATGAGCGGGAGAAAAAGAAGAAAATTACTTGGATAGGCTAAAGCAAAAGACCGTACGTGAAACTCCCTCGTGACAACGTATATGATATATGATATATATATACCACAAGGTTTCTTGATAAATGAGCGCCTTTATTGAAGTTCGCTGACAAAGGGGAAATGAGAAGGGATATAGTTGCACGTTTCGCATACCCTCACTTATGGCCACTAAACCAAAGGTGTGTTCCTTACATTCCACTGAGCTAAATCCAATAATGTCACAAAATTTTCCCTGACTCGACTATCAAAATATAACGACATATGAATTTTTTTTATTCTTTTTTTATTCTTTTTTTTATCCATTTTGTTCGCCAAAATCGTGCCATTTCTATCATTTCTCTCAAATATTTCGGGGACAGCCTGTGTACACGGGGAGAAAATAGACAAAAACAAATGGTACTTTCTCTTCCGAGAAACGACCCTTGAAAACTTTTTTTACCTTCTCTAACTCTCATGCGACAGTCGTACGACTGTGCGGATATAAAAGTTGGAGTGAAAAATTGCCGATTGAAAAATAAATAGGGGATTTCCATGGGCCAAGTGTCACAGCGATTTGGTAGGATCGAAGATGAATTGAAAATGCAATTCGGCAAGAATGCATCAGCTATTATTGTAAATGACTCCGATCGAAAATCGAAACGAATGACATGGAATAATAAAAATGGAACAATGAAAATTGAGATAGATAGATTGGAGAAAAAGAGGGAGTACTTCATTTCCCCAGTGTTTCAATGTGTTTCATTGGCATTGGCACCCAGCGAATGTAGGCGCTTGGATGCTGATGAGAATGATCCAACTAACAGGAAATTAATTCACGCCCTATTCCAAAATCGTAGGGAGAACGGGGGAAAGAGGAAAAGGGACAAGGGTCCGACTATTATCGAAATCTGGCTATTATCGAAACCGTCGAGCGTGGTATACTCCCCATGAGGGGAAATCCCCGAGGATTTCTCTTTCTCAGAAAAAAAAAACACTCATATTATCATTTGAACTCGCAACTCAGTATGAAAATAAAATAAATCGCATATAATAGTTTCGTATAAATGGTATTCAATCGATGTTGTGTACGTCTGAGTCATCGACGCAAAGTACACGTCGACGTAGTACACCAAATATTTTTCTTTCTTCCTCATTCTTTTTTATGGAATATGAACGGAGAGACAAAATATTGAATGGTGTCGTCGTAGCATAATAAGTTTATCAACTTCAAATAATAGTGAAAATAACAAAAGGTAATATTTGTGCGAGGAACTAATGAGAAGACTCGGTACGAGTGTTGGTTTGAGAGTCACCAGAATGACATAAACCTCAGCCCTCCGAATCTCTTCAAATTTAATCCACGAACGCCTCCAACACTGGCATAAATCCTAAAGAGGAGCACCAGTGAGAGTGTCTGACAGTGAAACAGACTCACGACAATTTATTTGCATGCTTAAATGGTGGCCCCTCCCATGTAAACCTTGAAGCCTCTGAACCATCTCCACTCGTATCCTCTTCCATCCAGCTCCCTGATTAATTTCACCGTCGCCAGACTCTTGATTACTCGTGCCGTTGGGATTTTCCCCCGTTTTCATCGGGTTTTAAACTCGACGACAGCATGAATTCCTTCCTTTTCCCTATTTATATGTCACTCCATGATGTTTATTCCATTCCACTCCCGCCCTCGTGCCCGCCTCCCGTTTTTGGTTAAATTGGAATTGTTCAAGTTGGTGAAACTATCCGGACATTCCATCCACTTTTCAAGAACGAATTAGTGAACGTGGAGAACGACTAAAATTATGTTGATATTTAATTATTTTTTCTTGATGTAACCAGGGAAAAAGAATTACAGCATTTTCCAATCTTTGTGTATGGATAAATAATCTAGAGTGATAATCTACTCCTCGGACGGATATTTTCTCAGAGAATTTCTTTTTCCCCCATACGAGCAATCTCTCTCTCTTTTTTGGCAGATACTATTTCTCAAGGAGTCTCAGTGGTCTGCAGGCTATTTCACCAGTGAAAATATCTCCCAACTATAGCTCAGATGTGTCTGTGTATCATGTGTGGCAGGTGGTCCCCCTTTTTCCCAATCTCTCCCATTTCACTGGCTGTGAAAAAGTAGAGTATTATGGCGAGGAAGAGAAAGGGGAGCGCCAAAAAAAATGATCACAGCAAGAAGACGTCGGATGTCTTTTATTAGAGGATTAGATCGCCAGTGATATTCAAAAGATAGTGCAGAAGTCTGTGCGGAATAGTGAGGAATTGTGCCACGGATCTAACGACCTGTGCTTAATACTTCAATAATCGGGAAATCGTTGAATAGTCTATTGTCGGTTAGTTAAATCATGGGAGAATGGAAAATGGTGGGGTTGACGCACATGCAGAAGTCTCGTAGAGATTGTTCTGTACGAGATTCAGGAAATAATTACTTCGGAGGACATTTACGCTGTGGGAAGAATAGGCTGTCAGTTCTTAGCGTCGTCTATCACTCATTCAGACTCTACTTTATGATCCATTACTTGGCAAAGTGATAAATCACTCACCTTTTCTCCCTTTTTTTCTCGTATACTTGACTCGACTTTTTCTGATAATGGATTGAATAAAAAATGGAATTTCAAACAGAATAATACATATTGATGAAGAAATGATAAATTAGTATTTTGGTGAATCGGCATGATGGGCCAATTCATAGAATATTTAATATTTAACAATATTTATATAATTAACAAACAAATGGCGCGGTTCATGATCTCACATGAAGTAATAATAAATTTCAGGGAAAAAATCATTATTCTTCAATTATTATTAATATAAAATTGTAAATTTTCGATGAAAGGGGGGAGAAGATTCTTAATCCAAGTGAAAACGCACTTCTTGAAAAACCTTTTTTATTTCAGGTGGGAATAAAGGAAATAAAGGACAGGGTCATTGAGTAGCGTTGACCTACCTCATTGTTTGCCAAAGTAGTGAGTGGTACATCGGGCTTGGCAGTACTCGGTCTTTCCTTTACCGATAGTAACTTTGTTCTCTTCTTCGATTTTCCAGCGTGTTTCAGCTTCACCGTAACTGCTTTCGTCCTAAAGCTCTCCGCTGGATAAACACAAGCTAGCATCTTTCTCGTTTTATAATCTCCTATTTTATTTCTCTACATCCTCCACCTCCTCCACCTCCTCTATCTTATCCTTCGCTACGTATTATGCGTTATATTGAAGATACAGTGGAGAATTAACTGATAGTGGCAACTTCGATGCAAAAAAAAAAATTTTCTTGTGTTTTCTACTCCATTTATTCGTCTGGGAATTGAATTTTTAGACAAAATTCACTTTTTACGATGTACTCGTGTACTCGTTGGTCTTGTGTATGCCTTGGAGAGGGTGAGGGTGAGGGCAGTATTAAAACTTGGCCTTTTCATGGAGGGTACACACACAGACCTGTTGATTTTACGGCCGCTCGGGGCCACTCCTTATCCACACACGGTTTTCCTCTTCACTATTTTTTCTCCTCCCCTTAACTTACTCTGGCACAGTCTTCAACCTGAAATATTTCACTCACTTGACTTTTATCCCTCTATTTCAATGTGTTTCCGGTGTTTTTTTCATTGTTTATTTATTAACGCCAAGATTTTTCACGGTTTTTTTTTCTCTAAGTTGTACAACTTTCTGCACTCGTACTCGGTCGCTCACTAATTAATGAAATGTAAACGGTGATTATTGTTCATGATTATTAGATATTTTTATTTTTCATGGAAGTCTGATTTTCATTGAATAATTTGTGGTGGAATTAGAAGGCAAATATGACCAGTTAATTTCGATGGCATCATAGACATGCACTTGTGCATTTTGAGTGGTTTGGGCAAGAGGAATTTATCGAAAGCTCTCGTTCTCCCGACAGTTTTGGTGGTGTAGCCCTCGACAAAGGCACCCAGTGAATCCAGCTTACGGCCCCATTGTACCTTGCCACTGACAGTTTGAATTTCCTCAATATTTCAAGTACGCATAATCAAAGGGGTGTATTAACGCACTTGCCTAGATATTCCAGTGCTTCACCCACTTCAAATACGCGTTGCAGCTTTGAATTTCGACTATTGTCAATAATTTGTTGAGTAATCCTCTTATGTGAGGATTATATTTGCGCAGCTATTCAGCAGACCGATTGTGTATATTGCCGCAACACGAATGTCATCGATCTACTTTACGGTGGTCAAAGAAAAAAAAAAGGGGGGGGAAATAAAATCGAAGATGAGCCGAGACGAGAGGTAGTCCTGGTAATACGATGAGTCGGTCGATTCTGTCTTTCAATGCACCCAAGGAATGCAATCTTCAATCTCACTGGGATTTATCAGATTTCATCGCGTTTGGCCTCAACTCATCTCTATATATATGCCTCGTAATTATTTTAATCATTTTTTCTCGGCTCCTTTTTTTCATTGGGCTCATAAAAAAAAACAATTTGAATTCCACAGGTAATCATAACATCGTGATGATTTGATGGAATATTTTACTAGCCTGATCAATACTGGAATTCAACTACTCCCCTTGAATCGAGATATATCAATGAAAAAATCGAAACTTTTCCCAGTACGCAGGTTCAATTGCCACCAACGAATACTTCATCTCAATTACCAATAATATTTCGATTGGCTCTGTTGACCCACTCAATTCTTTTCAACTTTCTCCAATCAAATTTATTGATCTCACCGTCTGCTAAATTGCAAGATTAACGCTAAAAAAAAAAGCCCTGGAAATACTTTAAATATTGACTCTGGCTCTCGAAAAAAGGAAAACTCATAAAACTGGAGGAAAACAGAGAGGAATCTCTTGGTGCAGCAATGATCATTATTATTTCATGTAGCAGTGAAACTTTCCAGGTTGTTTGTTAAGTTCTCATGTATACAAAGGGGATAAGAACCTGAATTTCCACTCATTGTGCGAATTTCGTGCCCCTAACACCATCCCTTTCTCCAACTAGTGGAAAGTTCGGATTTTTGAATGAGAACGAGCGGAAAGAGACACCAAGAGCGAGAAATGAAAATAAATCCAGGATACACTATGTTGTTCGTAACTTAAAAAAAAATAAAAGAGCGCAATTTCTCAAGTTTCTTATTAAGGAAAATTTTTACTCGACTAGAGTTTTCTCTTCGTACATGGCCATACAGCAGATGCCTTCACCCGACAACGGCATCTTCACCAACGGTTTGACATGACTAAAGATACAAACTCAATCGACAATATCAATGTGTGTATAAACGTTGAACCAGAATGATGAAAAAAAAAGAGATTAAAAAAAATGTATAGAAATGCTGTAGAGGCTTGAAACTCGTTTTAATGTATTTTTCTTGGAAAGACGAGGGGATAACATGCTCAACTAAAATGTGTATGTGTTATGTACGTACGTACGAGTACGTGAAAGCTTGGAAAAACAATGTCGCCTGGTGGCACGAGGCTATGGCGGTTATACGGGGTATGAAAGAGAAGTAAAAGAAACGCGTTGAACTCGTCTCGCGGTCGTTACAACTCTCTTGGGACAAAACCAACGGTCTTATACACTGTGATGCACCCCTTCACTTAGTTCTCATCTCTCCTTTTTTTTTTCATCTTTTCTCATTTTTTTTCTTTCTCCTGCTTTTTTCCGAGAGACATCTTTTCATAACTCTGCATTGCTCGACTCGTTATTTTCACCCGCAAAGCCGTAAAGGGAGAGAGTTACTCGGTATATGAAACTGGGGAAAATATTAGGCATGTGAGGGTTGGTGAACTGAGTTCGCTTGAAGTTTTGAAATTAACATTTTTTTTTTTGCCGAGGTACTGAGATTTTTTTTCTCTCCAAAGCCGAGGAAATTCATGAAATTGTATTGTGAGGTAGGGGAGGTACACAATGAGGAAAAATAATGAGAAAATTCATCGAATGGGGTTTGCAGGAGAAAGAGATTGGAGGTATCACTTGGAAAGGCGATAGTACTGTAGTAGTGATCGGTGACTTCCGGGTGGCATGAACGTGCCTTTCCCATGTTAAATCACTTCAAGCGGAAGAGTCCGACGACATCACCAACCAATGCCAATCCTCCAATCATACAACCGTTACATCTAAATCTTATATTCTATTTTTTACCCCTCTCTCCACTGGGATGTTCATTTTTTTATTCGTCTTTTTGTGCGTCGCGTACTTGTAGGAAGAAACTCCGATAAAAATTTAGTTTGAATTATGAAGATTTGGGAGGAATAAGAAAGCCAGGAAAATTGTTTGAATAATAATGCAGCGACATTTCTATGAATTACCGTATAATTACACCACTTCATACTAAAAATTTCCCGAGATATCGTTTTAAGAAAAATATTCTAGTTGAATTTATCATTTTTTTTCCTCAAAGGTATTGAAAATGACGAGGCTTTTGAGATTAACGACATGACCGCTGGTGTTTGCGTGTCAATCGATGGGACACGGTGCAACCTATTAATCCCTGGCTTACGTACTGATTTGGGATTTAATTATGTCGAATTAAACCTATAATACGTAAAGAGCACGGCAAGAACTGTTTGTTTTTATTTTCTTCTAGATCGCGTGATTGAATCGAGCTTCGGGTATTTCATTAATTAGCGAGTGCCCCCAGTCAATTTATCGGATGACAATGAAAATCAACGGGGGAAAAATTTGGAGTATAATTGGACTCTGCAATTAATTGAATTAATTAATTGAAAAGCGTTCTGAATGTAATCGGATTGTATGAGCAGAGACAAGGGAGAAGTGATTGGAGATGAGATTTTTAGAATGAAGGGGATTCAATTGTTGGAATGTACTTTTTCAATGAATACATATTTATGAAAAAGAATTGTTTCAAGCTGACTGAGGGAGGCTGATGATGATCGATGGAAATTCAGCGTCTCTCACATCCCACGGCTGACAAATTACTCCGCGAAAGGGAGAGTCACCCCCGTCGCCTCATTCCTCTACCTCGCCGACTGGGCGATTTGTTTTCCGGTATAAAAAGTGATTTTTTCCGTCAACCCTTCTTCATTCCATCCAGATATTGAAAACTTCTTGTTGATTACTCAAGATTTTCTGCAATTTTCTGCATGATGTCAGTCAACTCCACAGAAAATCGGCATTACTGGTCAATCAATTATTTCATAAACTATTCACCATAGAAAAACCAATGAAAAATGTCATGTCCTCGACGTGTCGTCCGTGACTTCAACCAGTGGAATAAAAACGATTTTTACATGGAGAGAAAAAAAATTGAAATAACCGACCGTCGAATTTTATTTCCACAAGGTATATATCAGAATGACATACTCATGGGGATTTACGTGGAGCATGTCCCTGGAAAAACTGTACAGGAAAAAAAAAGGATTGAAATGCGCAGTATGCGGAGGATAGAATGAACCAACGACATTCCAACGAATATTTCGCTACATTGTGTCCATCAGCTGATCGAACGCGTCATTCCGTCCAAATGCATTACCGAAACCACTGGTCAACTGCGTCTGTAACGACCATTTCCTCCAGTCAAAATGACATTGGCAAGCGTTAATGGAAATTCGACCAGTGAAAATCGCTCCAGATTTCACCCTGTTGTCCTACAGCCTCAACCCGGCCATTTCCATTTTCAATTTATTCCAGTTGATTTTAATACACGGGTATTTATCCAACTGAATTCACGAAACCATTTAACCGATGATGCAACAAGTCAGGCGAAATTGGGGTATAAATATTTTTTTCCGTTTTTTCTTTCTCTATTTTTAATTTTTCGTTTTAATGGGTACGGGAAATCGAAATGGAAAATTATACGATTTACACAGCCAGAGTTGGAAAAATGATTTCATCGATGAGCCGTTGGAAGGATACGTTATTTTCGAGGGGGAATAGTCATTCATTTATCTTCCTTACCAGCTTTCCCAAAATTGGGTTAGAAATTGGCTTAGAGAAAGAAATACTGCGAAAGAAATAAATGATTCATTAAAATGTGAATCTCATCAAAATGATAATTTCCTAAATGGACTCTCCTGCTGGAATTTGTAGAATAAAAATTTCCCCAGATATCGGAGGATGGAGAAATAAATGAATGATCTTGATCAATTGGTGTATCGTGTTTACAATGAAAGGGCAATGAAAATAGTTTGAAAACAAATAGAGATAGATTGGAGATTTGTGGGAGATGAGACGATGGATGAGTTGAACCGGAAGTTAAGGGCAAAATTAAAGGGGAGGGCAAAATGGTGGGATAAGGTGGTGGTGTTAACGCAGACAGACGGTACAATTGGCCATTAGACGAGGGAGAGAGAGCGGCTTTGGTCTGAATGACGGTAACGGGCATTTAAGTAACGGGTGTCTATCCCAGCGACATTTTAGACGTGCTCGCCATATTTGCCAGTTTGAGATTCGAGATAGTCGCCTCAAACTCTCACCCTCTGGTCGACGTATTTCCTCCACCCAAAATCCCCCAAATACTATTCCAATTTGCCATTGAAATACGCAGAAATTATTGGCATTGCAAAATTTACCCATTTTTATCCAGTAATTTTCCAGTTTTAATTAAGTTCGGCAATTAAGTTTTTTCACTGAATTTTAATATCTTGGAGTCTGGGTGGAGCATAATGCGTCGCCTTTTTTCCAATTCCCCATGAAATCTCCTTTCTCCAAGTCTCCATTCACTATTTCAGTCCAATTTATTTTATTTGCCTTTTTAAATACTAGTCGGAAGGTAATTAACCCAACGCTGCGCACAATTCTTCTCATTTCCGCTTTACGATGTTTTTTTTTCTCCGTTGTATAGAGGACAAAAAATGAACTCTATTTATTGCAATTTCAGGTGGACCAATTATTTATTTTTGACAGTGAATTTAAATCGATTAGGCGGCGTTGTAATAAAGGAATAAATTCACAAAGCCTCGAAGTTAGCTTTAATATTAATCAATCAACATTATAGAAACTTGTTGAAAAATTCAAAGGAGAAAGGGGGAAAATAAACTTTTGTTGTACAAACGTATGAACTCAAATTCAAGTTAGCGAATGCGAGACGACTCACAGGGATTTCTTCATTTCCGCGTGAAGAGGGTTGGAATTGAATGAGAAATAAACTTTTCAAAAAACTTTTTCACTCAGGAACTGAAGAAAGGTTTTTTTTTTCAAAGACCCTTCGAACGCGAGAGGACTTTTCGGTAGGATGCGTATGGAATTTATTCATTCACTTAGTGAGTTTAAAAATACCGATCGCTTGGTGGTGAAGAAATTTATATTTTTCTTTAAAGTCATTAGGACTCGGGCAATTGCCCTCACGCGTATTAATGGGAAATTTACCATATGAGTGAGCACACGTGATGCATCGACAATTTCCACTCTCTAAATTAGTTAATAATACAACACATGTCGCGCGTTTTCAATGTACAGACTTCCATGTCATTAGAATAATTAGTAAAAAGATAAATAATTCATGTGTTGTACGTGAAAATACCGATGCATTTCCCCGGTAAATCCGCGAGTCGTCACATTATCTCAGGGTCCATTGGTTCCATTCCATCAGCATTATAAAAAAAATGTTTACTGATAAAATACCACTTCTTCTAATTAACCGACGAAGTTTTTAGTTATTCAATTCAAAATCTCAACACCAGATATTATTGCCTTTGAATTAAAGTCTGATTGGATTGAAATTATCGACGAATAACATCACCGAATATTTATAAAATTGCGGTTAATTATTATTATTATTTTGTCATAAATTAATAACGAATTTTTGAAAGAAGCGACGAACCACGTCGGTCCGCAGTCGTCAACGAACTGCACACGTTTCACCGTGAAAAGCGTCTGGATAGCCTCCAGCCGGCGACTGGCGTACTAGATGTATATATATACCCATATATATCCGTCTATGTATATATACCTATGTCGACGGCCGAACTTAGTCGAAAATGCCCGATGTCTTACGCGCCGGCGACTACTAGGTATGTTAGTTGGAAGGGTGGCAATTCAGGGGTAATATGAAAAAGGGCGAGGGGTGGGATTCAGGATAAATTCTCAGTTACGTAATATTTACCAGAGAAACCCCCCCAGAAAAATGAAATAAAAACGTGAATTTTAACGGAAAGAGTCTTAAAAAAAAGCTCCTATTTAACTTGGTATTTTTTAAACTCAATATTTGTGTTAATATTGTGCCCCGCTCGTTCATGAAAGCCCGATTTTTTGGTCCTTTCATTAACTTTGTTAATTAACGCCCAACAAGCCTTTTCTCTCGCCAAGGAAATCACTGGATGCTTGTATTTTGACGATACAGTTTTTGTTGAGCTCCGGAGTAGAATAATTAGCAAACTGAGCTGCTGAATTGTTATTATTTTTTTATTATTTCGCTGGTTCGGAATTTTGCTGAGAATTCATTAAAACGGGGAGTGGAGTTTGATCTGGCCTTTGAACGGGCAATATGACAACTTGATGACAAGAAAATCGTATATTCCAAGACGAATGACATCAAACAAGCAAGTATATAGCCACTTGTAGGATGTATCGTCATTACCTACAGCTTCGCCGTTCCATCGTCTCTATGTCCTTTTGGTAAATCTCCAAGTGGTAGTGACATTCGCTGAGAAAACACGGATCGTCGCACTTTAAGGTCGATGCGTTTTCCAGTTGACGATACCGAGGGAAGAAATGACGGAACATATTCTGTGTATCAGCGTTTCCTGGGGATGTGTGTGCATCCTGCAGAATATACGATCCCAGGGTGCAGAAAAAAATTGTTATAAAAACGGTGAAGTGAGGAATACGAGGAGATCGAGTCATTCTCTTTCTCCTATTCAATTATGAATTATTATTATAAATTTTTAATGTTGATGGGGCTATCAGGATAAATGAATTTTGAATAACCAGCGTGGATATTTATGACTCCATGAAGTGCACTTGGAAAAAATGAAATAATGAAAAAAAAAATGGCATTTTTAAAGGAATAGAAGGCAGATGACTTCTCATCGGCAGTGGGGAATGAATTCATCAAGATCCTGGGCTTCCATTTTATCCATTCGTTGAAATTCGATACGAAATTTAATAAAATCCCGAGTAAATGGAAGACGCCTTTGAGAGGGGGTGGAGGATGGGGTTCATGGGCGTTGGATTGCAAATAGACTGGCTCTTTATTCCCAGAGGAAAAGGGAGATGATATAGTGAGTCTAGAGACAGTATTGAGTAGCGGTGGAAAAGGAGATTGATTAAAAGTACTTTTCTCTTTTTCATATTTTCGCTTCCACTGGGTGAGCTACCATTTTTTCGACAGGATCGGCAAGATTAAACTGCCATTTTATATGGATAATTTTCATATTTCCACGGGATTTTCATTCGTGTAATTTGTCAAAGGGAAATGGTGAGCAAGGGGAATGATGCAACAGTCATTTGCATTTGTGTGGAAAGAGATATTGAATGCACTAACGGAGTTATTGAACAGGTAGAACTGGGGTAACCACTGGCAACATGACATCAACAATCGAAGATCGCGTGACGTTACGTGACGTGACGTTTCATAGACGTACCGTTAGTGCCATTTTCATATGTACCATGGGGAAAATTTTGTTCATGATAATTCTTCGTGCTCTACCTCGTCTTCGTACCCATTCACGTGTCCTCCAAACGTGAGAGGAACAAGTCCCAAGTAATATCGCACTGGGAAAAAATGTTCAATCAAGAAACTCATGATTCGAAAGCTGACAAAAAAACCTATCGTATTTTTTCATTCTGGAAAGATAAATAATTTGTTTATGCAAGTAAAGATGCATTTCTCTAAGAACTATTTTTTTCTTCTGTGGATTCATACAAAGGGAGGAGGGAAAAAAATGTATCAGAACCAATCGGCCGAAAAGGAAACGGATATTTTTGACCTCGAAATCAGGAAGTCACGGGTCACTGGTTGAAAGGTGGCAGGTAGATTTCTCCAATCCCAAGAATGCCCCCTGGTATTTTTTTTTCTCCCTATTCTTTTCACTCGCCTTCCCACGCCTCCCCAAGTTTCGAAAAAAAAAATCCACAGATTCTTTTTACCCACTTTTTTCCTTCGGTTTACATTCCACCAGGGGGCCTATTCTCGATACTTGGGAATGTAATCCGTGAACGAATATTTGATATTCCCTTGAGAACGCTGATTCGTTAGACACTTCCCAGAGATAAAGATAGAGAACCTAATGAACCGCTAATACGTACCAACTCGCGATATAAAGAGAATGTATTGAGAACCAAGATTCCCATTTCCTCAAAAATCGTTTCGACTATCTCAAGAAATATTCGTTTTTCATTTTATCATGAATTGCCGATACATTGGAAGAATCATAAAGCGTTACTCGCTGGGAAATGAACGGTTCGTACCTTCATACTAGACGCAAACCTAATTACCCGCAACGTGACACAATTACCAGAGTGAATTCGTCGACTCGGTAACCCGTGTATATATCGTTTCCACCCCCTCTAATTCGTTTTTTCCCCCAGCACGGCGGGAAAAAAGTGCTCATTGCGCTGGCCATTTCCCAAGAGTACAATAGCAACTGTCTCAAACATACTTAAACGGCTACCATGAAAAATCTTCATGATACCAGGACCTTTTATTTTTCTCAGCGTTAAGCAAACAAATAAAAGAAGGGAAGATAAAAGAATCCCCAGGGTGTGGTTGAGTAAGTGATAGGTGAATGTGAAGTTTAACTTAATAATATGGTTTTCCCAAAATTGAAATGCAGGTGACGTGATACCTCTAATGAGACGTGCGCAATTGCATAAAATTAATTACTGAATTCCATTACGTTCCAATTTTTTAAAATAAATACATAAATAAAATGCATGATAAAATAATAAATAACAAAACTCTAGGTCGTATGGCTCTTGGAAAAATCTCTGATGAACTTTTACCATCGTCAAAGGCAATTTTTTCTTTTGATCGCGCCATGTAATTACACTCATTTCAATCGCCGTTAGATCCCCTATAGATCACCAGCCCAACCTACAAATGTGCGAGAGTGTGACCAGAAAATCCCAGAAAATTGCCAGTCTCGTAATCGGTCTTCCTCCCCGGACATAATTGGAAAAGAAGAAAAAAAAAAGAGATAAATTCGATTGGAGCATCGAAAGACCATTTGCAGTCTTCAAATAGAACCCATTGTGTCTGGACGTCTTTATCCCCACCTTAAATCGTATTCCTACACTCGGTTCAATTTTTTTCCCCGTCTCAATGCACTATAGATTTATCCTGGGAAATCTACCGGCATTATTCGGTATCCCTTGATCAACTCCTCGTCCCACTGGTGCATTGTCATCAATTGGTTTTCATTTTTCCACGGTCTAGTCGCCAGAATAGTAAAATCATTATAAGTCTTTCAATTGCTTTTTTTTTTAAGTATTATCAGGGGCTCCTTTATTTCAACCCTTTATTCTAGCTCGGGCTCACTCAATTTCGTGCTGTCTCCTTTGTCCCACCAGTCACCGATTGCTGTTCAATGGACCCAAGCTTCCATTTCTCTTTTTTCCCCATATATATGTATGTATATATATATGTATATATTCCCTTTTCCGGAGTTTTTAAGCACGATCAGAAACGCGTCTGGAATAAATTCCATATTTCAACAGCCAGAGGGGTGAGAATAAAATCGCAAAGTCCAAGAGCCAATGAAAGCCCGCAAATTCTCTAAGTGAACGTCTGATCGTGGACTGCTCATCGGCTCTCGCCTCTTCTTTTTCCACAATTTCCAGTTTCTATGAAGACGAGACCGAAGTTTTCAGGAGAGAAGAGGGAGGAATATTGAATCTTATGAATTAATTATCTGGGAAATCAGGTGGGAAGAGGCCATCTGCTAATTTTCCCTCCTACAGAGTTATTTGTAACGGATCCGGAGTGTAATCAACTCTCAGTGCTTCTCATTTTATTTCTGAGAGATTCTCTTTTTTTTTGGAATCATTAAATACCGAAAAAAAATCCGGAAACGATATATTATTTAACGTTCGTGGGTGGTCGTCTAAGAATTGAGTATTAAAGGTAATTATGGGAGATTTGGAAAGTATAGAGTCTAGACAGATTAAAAATGGGAGAGTCTGTGGGCTTTTCCGGGAATAGAAGAAAATTCGAGGGAAATACGCCCTGGCAACTATACCTGGTAAGGGAATAACGAGTTGATAGTGACTTTTCTGTGCAGCTTGCACACATACCCCAGAGGTATTCTCTTCCAGGAGATGAAGTCACTGGGACTTTAACGAGTGCGGAGAATGAAGAGAGAGAGGGATGAGAAAAGAGGGTATGAAAGAGGTACATGTGTTGATGTCTATAGAGAACGGTGCGTAGCAAACGGTTAATTGTGGGCAATGGTTAGTTGATTTGTAGACGTATGTGTTGTGTATTTGACTCGCATCACTGAATATCCCGGTCGTAGCACTTCCGCTCAGTTCATCCTCACCATCCTCACCATTCTCGTCATTCTCGCCATTCTCACCATCTCTGTAAAATCACCTCTAACGGATTCTCACTGGGCTCTCATTTTTTACACGAAGTAAAACTGTCATCCATTTCCTTTTAACCTCTCGAAATTCATTTGGATTCCATTTAAGTTCATTTTTTAATTATCCTCTGAATTCAATCGGTGGATTATTAAAAAACTCAATTCAAATGCCAAACGATAATTCACGACAGAAGTTTAGCAATTAAATTTGAATGAAACTCCTTAACAACTCGTGAAAGCTGGAAAAAAAAGTGGAGGGAACAAAACCAGGAGATAACTAGAGTGGAATGCTAGATGAAACCTGGAGTGAGCCC